TATGTGGTAATGCATGGTGGCTCACACTTGTAATCTCAGCATTTTGGTAGGCTGAGGTGGGAGGATCACTTGAGGTCAGGAGTTCAAGACCAGCCTGGGCAACATAGCAAGACCCTCCTCCCCCTCCACAAAAAACTTGAAAAATAGCTGAGCATGGTGGCATGCCTATAGTCCTAGCTTCTGGAGAGGTAGGAAGATTGCTTGAGCCCAGGAGTTCCAGGCTATAGTGAGCTATGATGGCACTACTGCACTCCAGCCTGGGCAACAGAGCAAGACCCTGTCTTAAAACACACACACACACACACACACACACACACACACAAAAGTGGTAATACAAAGAAAGTGGTAATACTATAATAATAGTATTAGTGGGGGGGAGGGTGCGCAACTTACACTGCCAGTGGGAGTACAAACCAGTGCAACTTCTTTGGAGGGTAATTTGGCTTTACCTTTCAAAGTTATAAATGTACAACCCTTGACCCAGCAATTCCACTTCTGAAAATTTATTCTATAGATATATGTTCATTCAAAAAGTATTTTCTACCACCTACTATGTGTCAGGCACTGGAGATAAACAGGTAGAGAAAACAACATCTCTGTTCTCATGGCGCTTCCATTCTCATACAGAAGACAGGAGTAAAGCAAGTCAACAAGTAGGCATGCAATAATCATAATGCCAGGTAAGTGATAAGATAAACTGGGACAGGCTGGTCTGGGAAGGTCTGAGAAGGTGACAGCACAGCAGAGCCTGAGTGAAGGAGAGAACAGAGCACAAGAATGTCTGGGGAAGGCAAGAAGGACGGAAGTCAAGGGGTAACACAAATTTGGCCTTCCTTCCCTGTTTTGCTTTTTATTCCCCTAACAGCCATTTGTTTATCCAAAAGATATGGGCACCACTGGAATTTCTCTGTCCCCGACACGGAAATAAAAATTAATTAGGGTATCTTAATACAGTACATCTTTCAAGGAAGGTACCAGGCCAGCACTGCTTCCCCAAAAATTATTGTATATAACAATTTGATTTTTTCAAAGGAAGAATTTTCCAACTTATCTAAGTGTTATGTCAAGCCTGGGAAAAGTGCATTAAAGCTAATTATGTGTTTTTACTGCAGATAAATCTTTTCAGAGTATAAGAGAACAGATTAGTTTCAAGGAAGGTACCAGGCCAGCACTGCTTCCCCAAAAATTATTGTATATAACAATTTGATTTTTTCAAAGGAAGAATTTTCCAACTTATCTAAGTGTTATGTCAAGCCTGGGAAAAGTGCATTAAAGCTAATTATGTGTTTTTACTGCAGATAAATCTTTTCAGAGTATAAGAGAACAGATTAGTTTCACAAAAAGATATTGATCAGTTGCTAGACAATTTTACACACATACAAAAACAAAACTGTCTGTCCCTGCCCTTTTGGCAGGATTGAGAACCACTATCTTGGAAGCACCTACAGATTAATTTCATGATCTTTTAAGCAATGAAGTTGAATTTATTTTCTTTAGGGACTATTTAGATAGATATTTTACACTTAAGTGGCCATTAAGGGCATTCCACTTGAGCCCAAAAGGAATGAAAATGACTCTGTTACAACACCTGAGAACATTATATATACTAACTTTTTCAAACAACACCATGAAATATCAGGCTTCAAAACTGCCATGAATATGTTGAACAAAGCAGATAATTAAGAAAGCAGCACACAGGGACAGAAATTTGACCCTGTGAAATATGCTCCTATCTCAATTTTGAAATCAGCTTTACGTAAACGCATTCATTTCCTACCCAAAGGGAGAACACAAGTAACCAAATGACTTCAGGGATCTACGGGTGATTCCCAAGGAGACAAACTCATACGGATAGGTTTCAGGCGCCACAAGCTACCTGCACAGCACACGACAGCTGAGGATGCAGTGCACGCTTCCTTTCCTTTGAACACTGCAGCCCAAAGGTCCAGCAGTTCTGAACGCCGGCGATGCTACTTCTGACAACCAACTACCCGGAGAGAATCACCGAGGGAGAGACCAGGGTACTAGTAAGCTTCCGCACGCGCCAACCCCGTCACAAGGGCGCTCGCTTATGCGCTCGGTTTTGGGCCCAAAGCGAAGCAGAAGACCCGCGTGGGCCCAGCGCTTCCAGGGTCTGGTGCCGGCTCCTCAGCCCCCCACCTCGGACGTGTCGGGCGTCCGGGGACCTCCCCAAGGACTCCTCGCCCCCTGCCCTACTCTCCCACGCGAGGTCATGATGCGGGCCTCTCCAAACCCCTCGCTGAAAGGGCCCCCACCAGGGAAAGCGCAGGGATGCGAGGCTGGGTATGCGAGTAGGAGGCACGGAGGGCAAGAAGAGGACACTAAGGGAGGGAAAAGCGCTCCTGAGGGCTGGTGCCTGGGGGAAGGGCGGGGGGGCTGGAGGCTACTTGCCAGCCAAGAGAGAGGAAAAGGGGTGGAGAAGGGATAGAGGAGGATACCGGGGGATGGGGGCCAGGTGAGGGGGTGCCCCTGCAGGCGGCTAACATGAGGAGGAGGTGGAGTCTCAGGGGCTTCCTGCGGGCCGCACCTGCAGGCCAGGTGAGGGGGCCCGCCCCGCTCCCTGCGCGGCGTCTCACCTGCCCAGCGCCCGCTTCATGCCCGCGTCGGCTGCGCAGCGCGGCTCGGCCGGCCCCTTGCCCGCCAGGCGTAGGTTCTGCTTCAGGCGGCAGTCGGCGTCCAGCGCCGCGGCGGCCGAGCAGGAGGACGAGTCCGAGGCGGCGCAGCGCTCATGCTCCAAAGTGACGGGCTCGGTCCGCTTCCTCATCCCGCAGCCGACAGGGCCGGCCGCCGACCGCGCCCGCTGGCTTCGCCCGCACGCCTGCGCCGCAGTCGCCGCCTCTCACAACCGCCACGGCCGCCGCGCGGAGCCGGGAGCACGGAGCCCACAGCTCCTCACATCCCAGTCCCAGGCCGCCGCGCCCGCTACGGACCAGCGCGGGGGCGGGTTAGCCGCGCAGGCCAATCAGCGCTGAGCTCCCGCCCCGGCCCCGCCCCCGCCCCGGCCTCCTCCCGAGGGCTCTGCGGGGTGCTCGCCCCGAGCCGCAGGCGCCGGCGGGCAGCCATCTTGGAGGAGGGTAAGCGGAGCCGCCGCCGCGCGGCAGCCGCAGGGCAGGGCTGGGCAGTGGGTCTGGCTGCGCATGGGTCTGCGGGCCCCCAGGGGCTTGGGGCCTGCCTTCGCCAGGGTGCTCAGTGTCGTGAGCACGCGCGGCCGCTTCGCGTCCCACTCGAGTGGCCCGAAGGGTGAGAACACGGGGAAGGCCACAAAGGAGCCACCCAGCGAGCCGGAACCGCAGCGCAGAGCCGGCTCGCTCCACTCCCAGCGAGGGCTTCTGGCTCTCCTCACACTGAAAACCTCAGAAGGGTTCATAGAACGAAACGAAAAAGATAGCAAACCACAATTCCGGTTTAAAGATTTATAACTTTTCCCACAAGGACCGTACTTAAAAAAAACGCTTTCAGGTAGTTAACTTTTAATTAGAAACAAATGTATAGGTATTTTTTTCTTTTTGTCCGAACATATGAAAAGTGAACTGTGGAAACAATTTACTTTGAAAAAACCTGTATTAGATTTTAGGTTTCTACAAAGCACTTATCACCTTACCACCAATATATTTGTCATCAATGTATCTGTATCTGTGTATTGCTGTTTTCCTACACTGGAATGTAGATTCTGAGGGAATCTACAGAATCTATTTTGCTGCTTTATCTTCCAGTGTCTCTAGACCAATATCCGGCTCATAGTAGGTACTTCATAAATACTCGCAGAAAATGAATCATCGCAACTCCTCAGAGGCGGTGCTATTGTCCCCATTTTACAGGTAAGGAAGTGAGTCTCAGGGTCATTAAGGAACTTTGCATCTGGGCTGAAATTAAGGAGGTGTGTGGCTGAAGAGGGTTGTGGATGCTGGTCTTTGAATCACGATCCTGCAGCATGATTCAATATAAAATTGTGTACTTGATAAAAAACACCAGCTAAATTATTCCTTACTGTAGAGATGAAAAGGAAATGCCACTCATCATTTCTCAGATAACGTATCTACTGTATCTATACTCGCAAAAGAGTAACATAGTTTCTAGTGTTAGCTAGAATGAATCTAATACTACTTTTTAGAAATTAACATTGCTTTTTAAAAAATAGCCAAATAAAACAAATTGTTTCTATAGCAGTGATTCCCATGTTTGATTCTGTATGGTTAGGAAATTTTCCATAGTCATTTAGGCAAGAAAATGCCTAGTGAATTCATGTTAATCTAGGATAAATATTACAAATATTTTTAAATGTCTTAAAGGGTGGTACTGTGGAGTTGGAAAGCCTAAGTACAGGATCTAATCACTTTAGAGCTGTGTGACCTTGGGCAAGTTACCTAACTTCTGTTTCCTTATCAGTAGTGGGTCTTAATAATCACCTTTAGGGATAAGTTGTGAGTTAAATGAAATATATGTCGCAGTCCCTACCATACAGGAGGTACCAAATAAAAGATGGTTTCCCTTTAATATCAAGCAAACAGTCTGCACTGCAAAACTAAAACGAAACGCTGCGTCATAACATCAATGCATATCAAGTCTCTGGGCCTTCCCTCTTAACTTCAAAGTGCCCCTCTGCACCTGAACGAAAATGAATGAATCAGAAAGAAAAAAGAAAAAGGAAGCTGCGGGCGTGCATTTATCCCCAACTGTGCTGAGCGCAGTCGCCTGGCCGGCCACGGAAATCGAACCAGCATCTCTGCTACAGGCTCTCTGCCCAGCGAGGACGGACCTCGCCGGGGAAGCATCCCTCTCACCCCGCCCCTCTAGTGCTGAGGCTGCGCTGCGGACGCAAATGTCTCTTTTCGGCAGCCGTAGGCCGCGATACCGGTAGCGCGTTCCTATTGGTGAGGCCTGTTTGGCGCCAAAGCGCGGAGCGGTGGCGGAGGCGAGCCGCTGCAGCCGCAGGACTGAGAACCGAAGGAGCGTGGTGGCTAAGAGCCCCGTGACCGTTTCGTCGTGAGAGCTGGCGGTTGGCGAGGCCGCAGGAGCAGGACGCCTGTGCCATGTTCTGCGAAAAGGCCATGGAGTTGGTCCGCGAGCTGCACCGCGCTCCCGAAGGGCAGCTGCCCGCCTTCAATGTGAGGGGACGGGGTAGATGGATGCTGGTTGTCCAGGGGGGAGGGCTGGAGGAGCGGAGTTTTAGGGGAGGGTCTGGGGGCGTGAGCGGGCCTGGGGGAGGGATGGCCTCTCCTGCGGGGTTTACTTTCTCACTTTCTCAACTCCGAGGTCCAGAATAAAAATCCTGGAACGCGGCAAAGAAAATATAGGAGGGAATAAAAAGCATTCATGCTTATATCACCCAGCGATTTGGTGAATTTCCTGTGTGTATAGTCTTGTTTCTTTGTTTAACCGTTTATTGGTTGCCTGATAATTAGCATTTATTGCTCAATCAGGCAGCGATGCGTGGTGATTAAAAGCCAAGTCTCTGGAACCAGACTGGGATTCTGGCTCCGTACTGGGACTTTGAGGCAGTTACTCAGTCTTTCTGTGTTCTTAGTTTTCATGTATGCAAAAATGGGGGAAGACAAGGATGATAATACTACCCACCTCATGGAGTGTTGAGGCCTCAGTGGGTGTATGTAAGGGTCTCTGAACAGTGACATACAGTAAGGGCTGAGTCAGTGTTAGCTGTTAATATTATTTCTGCTGCTGCTACTATTACTATTATTTTTATTTTTCTATTACTGCTACCCTAGACAGGGTGCTAAGCAATTGACCTACATTATCTCATCTTTATAATAACCCTTTGAGTTTTAAACCACTGTTTTCCATTTTTGCCAGTTGTATACACATAGGCTTGGGGAAATTTAAGTATCTTGCCTAAGACGACACAGCCAGTAAGAAGTAAAGCTAGGATTTGAACCCTGGCACTCTAGCTCCAGCGCGCACTCTAAATTCTGTATTTCACTACTCCTATTAATAGAGCAGCCACTGTTTGGATGCCAGAACTCATTCTGTTGGGAGAAGGTCATGAAGACAGGTAATAGAGTGCAGCGTGATAAATGATACCAAAGAGATGTAGACACAAAGGAGAAACACCAGTGTGAGCTGAGGCCAAGAAGGGTATATTTGAGCCTTATCATCCTCAGAGATGAAATCACTCTGAGAAGAGAGTGACAAATCCCAGCCAAAAGATGCCACAGCACAAAGACACATGGAAAGGGTGACCAACAGGATGTGTGGGGAGGCTATGAAGGTGGCTCGCAGCTCAGAAGAGTTTCATACTCACTTGTAAGGCATTTTGGAAGCTTACATGAGGTGGGGCGAGTGATAGGATAATTTTTGTGTTTTAAGGATAACTATGGCAGCAATATGGGGAATGGATTGAAGAGAAGAAAGTACAGGGACGATATGGCTAGTGGGTGGTTGATAGACCATGTGAGAGATGTGTGTGGCCCAAACTGCGTCAGATTAGTGGCACTGAGATCAGTGTCTGTGTTTTAGAGATGTGACAAACAGGACATGTGACTTTTCAGACAGGAGATGGGTGGGTAATGAATGAGAGGGAGGGGTCGGGGTCCTGGGAGAATTCTCAGGTAACTGAGTAAACAACATCAGACTTCAGGAAGAGGAAGAGTGTTTTAGGGAAAGTGATGAGTTTTGTTTTAAACATTAAAAGACAATTAGGTTATTTTACATATGAGGAGACTGAGCCAAGAGAAATTATGGGTCAAGTTAAGGGATTTGTCTAAATTTACCGCATAGTGGAGGCAGAGGCTCAATTTGAACACAGGTTTTCTGGATTCTAATCTGTTTTTTCAACTTCAAAACAGTTACCTCATTTAAAAAGTTAGAAGACAACAGTGTGAAGCTCAGTAGAGATGCTGGAATGTAGGGGTTTCTGAGCTGTAAAGTGTAGCTGCATGCTGGAGTCGGAGAACTAAGAACTTTAGAGGTCATCAGACCCATGAGGAAACAGGCCCAAAGAGGCAGAGAGACTTGTCCAAACAGGTGCTGGCCTAGCTAGATTTGGAACCTGGCTCTGACTCTTGGTCTGGCTCTCTTTTTCACTCAAATTTTAAGACGAGTGCTGGTTTACAATTTTGGGGGGCTGGAGTAGGTCTTAGAAATTATGAAATCACTCTCTTTTCTAGGTTTGTCTTAGTTTGTCTTACTAATGCCTTACACTGACAAACCTACCTGCTAGTCAGGTGACTCAGCAGCCTGACAGACTCAGCCTGCAAAGATGGGCCTCTCTGACTCAACTGAGTGGGGAAGGTGGAAGGTGGATCTGAGAGGCCCAGGCTTTCAAGAATCATTCCTGGGGGGTGGGGGGAGTGTGATAACCAGTGGGTTTAGAGCAGGGGCTCTGCCTGTTGCTTCCAGAATCCTACGTGGTTAGATGATGTGTTCAGCAAATTGAAAAGTGATTACCCCTTTCTATATGCAGAACTGGTAATTTTTTTTTAAATTAAAAAGTGCATTTTTAAGAAAATTATATTGGGCTCTCAGTGGCTTACATCTGAGGTGGGGGCGTAGAATAAATGTTATTCCCACTATAGACAAAGATCTGAATCTGAATTTGGTTTTTATATACCTGCAGATGTTAATTGCACAAGAATTTCAACTATTCCTTAAAATAATATTTACTGATGAAAGGAATATTTAACTGAATTCTAATAAAGCAGATCTTTCCATGGTATTTTTTTAACCAGATGATGAAAGGGAAGATAGAATTCATGCTTACATTTTTTATCAGGAATTATCTCTTTTGAGCAGTGTTAAATAGTTGATTTTGTAATTGTGCCAGTAGTATACCAAAGCATTTTTGCTAATACATATATTTTGGCCCTAAAAATAAATTGGGAAAAGTAGATGGGATCACTTCTCTTTAGATTGTTGGCAGATCTACTGTGCAACATTTAAGAATTTCAGAATTCTAATGTTTTGTCTTTCCAAGGGAAAATTTGCACTGCAGTGGATAGTAGAAAAACTCCTTTCGACTTTCTGTTTTTACAGTACAAACTCAAAACATTGTTCCTTTTTTTCTTGGTATTAACCTTTTAACACCATTTTTCAGTAAGTAAGAAATTATCTACATATTTTTGTTATGCCTTATTGCTTCTGTAGGCCTATTGATTTTTTGTCATCAATTTTATTGAGGTATAACATATGCAACAAAATATGCATTTTAATAAGTTTTTGAATTTTGACAAATGTATGTATCTTTATAACCACCACCCTGGTCAAGATTTCTGTAACCCCAGGGGTTCCCTTGTCCCACTTTGTAGCTACCTCCCACCTGTAGCCTTACACAACCACAAATTTGCTTTCTCTGACTACAGATTATATTTGTCTTTTTTACATATTGTTGGATTCAATGTGCCAGGAGTTGACAAACTTCTTCTGTAAAGGGCCAGATGAAATCATATCGTACGTACTTGTGTCTGGCTTCTTTTGCTTAGTATAATGTATTTGAGATTGTCCTTACTCAGTGTGTTGTCAGTAGTTCATTCCTTTTTGTTGTGCTTTTTTCCTTTTTCTTTTTTTTTTTTCTGAGACAGAGTCTTGCTCTATTACCCAAGCTGGAGTGCAGTGGCATCATTATAGCTCACTGCAACCTCAAGCTCATGGGCAAAGCAATCCTGCCTCAGCCTCCCAAGTAGCTGGGAATACAATCACACACCACCATGCCTAGCTAAGTTTTAATTTTTTATAGAGATAGGCTCTCACTATGTTGCCCAGGCAGGTCTTGAACTCCTGGCCTCAAGTGATCCTCCCACTGCAGCCTCCAAAAGTGCCAAGATTACAGGCATGAGCCACCACATCCAGCCTCCTTATTTTTTTTACTGTAGTAAAATATACATAGTATAAAGTTTACCGTATTAACCATTTTTAAATGTACACTTGAGTGGCATTAATTACATTCACATTTTTGTGTGACCATCACCCCTATCTTATTTCCAAAACTTTCGATCACTTCAAACAGAAACTCTCATGATTAAGCAATAATTCCCCCTTCCCCACTCCCAGCTCCTGGTAAGCAGCTCCTGGTAATATCTAGTCTACTTTCTGTCTCTTTGGATTTGCCTATGCTAGATATTTCAGATAAGTGGAATCATACAATAGTTATCCTTTTGTGCCTGACATCTTTCACTCAGCATAATATTTTCAAGGTTCATCCATGTTATAGCATTGTCAGTACTTCGTCGTTTTTTGTGTTTGAATGATAGTCCATTGAATGGATATACCACATTTGGTTTATCCATCCATCAGTTGATGGACATTTGGGTTGTTTCCACATTTTAACTATTATGAATAATGCTGCTAAAAACATTTATGTACAACTATTTGAATAATGAATGTTTTCATTTTTCTTGAGTATATACCTAGGGGTGGAATTGCTGCATCATATGGTAATTCTATGTTCAACTTTTTGAGGCACACCAGGTTTTTTTCCACAGGGATCTACTATTTTACATTCCCACTAGCAACATACAAGGGGTCCAATTTCTCCACATCCCTGCCAACAATTGTTATTGTAACAGGGTGTGAAAGAACTATTGCTTTTTGATAATATAAATCAAAGATAAATACCGTATAGTGTGGGTAGAATATTGCCACAGAATTGGTGGGAGAAATTAATAAATATGTACCAATATGTTTATGTTTTAGGAGGACGGACTCAGACAAGTTCTGGAGGAGATGAAAGCTTTATATGAACAAAACCAGTCTGATGTGTAAGTTTGATAAGATTAATATTCTAAAACAGTTTAAGAAGTAATATGCTGAAATCAGATAACCTTGCATTAGGTTTTTTTAAAATTTTCTATGAGCCCGATCATACTCTAGCTATACAAAATAGCACAGGACTAGTGCTGATCACTGCTTAATAAATATTTATTGTTTGACTGATATGAGTTGAAAGGAGTTAAGGTAGACCTAAAAGAAATGACATACCCTAAAATAAAACATAAAAGTAAAAACCCCAATGAAGTGAAATACATAGTTTCCACTATTTATTTTCATTAACATTTTGTTAAACGGAGATTGGGCAATTTGTAAACTTAGCAGGAGCTGCAGTGGTTTTTGATAGCCTGAGTGGAGTTCACTGAGAACTAGTGCTACCAAAGGTGGCAGTGTAGTAGGTCCAGAGAGGGCTCTAGATTTATGACTGTTTAGAGCTGACCATGGTAGTTGGCACAGGGGAGAATCTGGGCTGTAGGACAAAGTCTGTAGGTTCCTGTGACTTGATGAATAGTAAGACACAAAAGGGAACCAAGTACTGGGTCAAAGTTGAGATATTCCTATCTCAGCCTAGAGAAAAGTCTATCTCTGTGACACGCACTTTCCTGTTTGGCCTCGTTAACTGCAATGTTTTAATAGGTTATTTGGAAGTAGAAATCAAGAGCATGCAGTAAGATTTGTAGGACACGCAAAGTGATAGGAGCATTTTCCAACTGTTGTGTTTAAGGATACATACAGAAAAGTCTTTACAAGTGGAATAAGAAACTGAACCTCAACAGGTTTGCAGTAAGTATAAGGCAAATAAATGTAAAGTCCCAAACTCAAGTTCCCAGGCTGTTCATTGAGTCATTCAACAAATATGACTAAACAAATTTGTGCTGATAAGTGGCTCTGGTATTACAGCGGTAAACAACACAGTCAAGATTCCTGTCCCTGTGGCCCTTACAGTCTAGTGCGAAAGACAGATACCAAATACAGATGCACCAAATTGGAATATGTGCTATGAAGGAAAGCAACAAGAGTGCCAGGAGAGAGAAAAATGAATTGAATATTTAGCTTAGGTTGAGAGATCAGGGAAGTTCTCTCAAAGGAAGAGACATTTCAGGTGAGTCCTGAAGGAGAGGAGGGTTTTAGTGAGGCAATGATTGTGGGCAAAGAGCATTTTAGGTGGAGGAAGCGTGAATACAAAGGCCCTGAGTCATGAAAGAGGATGGGGTCCCCAGGAAACTGATGCTTAAAGAAAAGGAATGTGGCTGGAGCTTAGATGTTTAAGTGTGGGGCAGGTGGCTGCCAGTTCATGAATTAAAAGATCCCACTTATATAAGTAGGGGAGAGAAAAAGAAATAAACAAATAAACAAAAAAAGATCATGCTGGCTGCTGTGTAGTCTGGAGGAGCTGAGCAGAGGGGGATGCTGGTCATCCGGTGACTGGAGAGGTGACCAGACTAGGTAAAAAGTGAGCAGAGTAAAGAAGTGTGTTCGAGGTGACCTGACAGGCCTTAGTCCAGCAAAAGAATGATTTTCCTATATTCCATGTTTTGTACCATTTGCAAATTCATGATCCAAAATTCTGTCCCCCAGCCTCCTAGTTTCTTCCTGGGGAGGCTATTGTTACCTTTCTGGTTAAAATTATTTGTGAAAAGAAATTATTCCTTCTTAATTACTCATATATAAATGTGGATCTTTTTAGAAAGCCCTCTTAATAAAGTACTCTGTTAGGTTGAGTGTATTTATTTGTGCTATATCCTTACAATCCAGAGCACACTGTAAACAATGTGGGGAATAAGTCAGACTTTCATAGGGTGGCAGAAGAGCATAGAACAGATCTAGAAAACATGATAGGATCAGACATGTATTTTGCCTGTATTATCAGGGCCTGGCACAGTGCCTAGCGTGGAGCAGGCATTGCATGAATGAATCCTTTTCATATTCATCTAGTTTCTTTTAAAACTCCAAAATAGATTCTTTTTTTTTTGAGACAGAGTCTCACTGTGTTGCCTGGGCTAGAGTGCCGTGGCGTCATCCTATCTCACAGCAACCTCAAACTCCCGGGCTCAAGCGATCCTTCTGCCTCAGCCTCCCAAGTAGCTGGGACTACAGGCATGTGCCACCATACCCGGCTAATTTTTTTCTATATATTTTTAGTTGTCCGATTAATTTCTTTGTATTTTTAGTAGAGACGGGGGTCTCGCTCTTGCTCAGGCTGGTTTCGAACTCCTGAGCTCAAACAATCCGCCCGCCTCAGCCTCCCAGAGTGCTAGGATTACAGGCGTGAGCCACCGCGCCCAGCCCAAAATAGATTCTTATTCATTCTGTACATTTGCTTTTAAAATGTGATACTTATTCTAGTATCTAAAGATGTGTACTTTTTATAGGGTAAAACCAAAGTTTTCTCCCTCTCTGTGTAATACTGAAGTACAATAATACACTTAGTTCAAGATCAACAAATATTTGTTAGATGAGTGAAAGACCATTTTTACCTCATTTTAACTCACTGTATTATGAGGATTTGAAAGTACCACTGAAAGACAAGTACTACATAGAATAACAACATGACAGAAGACCATAATCTCATGAACCAAAATGTTAGGTTTGTCTCTTATCTCAGCATGATAAGCGAATTCCAAAAAGTGGGTAAACACGATGTTTGTCATTTGGAAATTATAATAGAGATTAATCAGTGTGCAAAGATGCAAAGTACCAAATGGCTAAATGAAATGTATCTTAGATAGCATGATCTTAGGCAAGTTATTTAGCTTTTGGCTTTTTATCTTTTAACCTGTGCAGGTAGTTACTAACTTAGGTTAACTGCTAATCACAAATGGATAAAAACAAGCATATAAGTCAGTTGTTAGTGTCTTTGGAAATTTTACTTACTCTGAAATATACATATTTTCTTCTTTAAATGCTTTTTATCAGGAATGAAACAAAGTCAGGTGGACGAAGTGATTTGATACCAACCATCAAATTTCGACACTGTTCTTTGTTAAGAAATCGACGCTGCACTGTAGCATACCTGTAAGCTTCTCAGTTTTTGCTTGTGGTGGCAGAGAACACTGGAGGGTTTTACATGTGTTAACCCTTTCATATGGATAGCAGGAAATCTTAGATTTGTCTCTCTTTATAATCATTCCAAATTTTTCTTTTTTCCATTTTTAAAACTTTTTCTTATGAAAAATTGCAACATTTAGAAAATGTTGGGAGTAGGGAGAATAATATCATAATGAACCCCAAGGAGCTATCTCATATAGGTTTAATGACTTATATTGTTTTACTGTATTTTCTTCATTGTGTCTTATTTGTTCATGCCACACTATTTTAGAGCATCATGGCACTTCACCACTGAATACAGTAGTGTTTTTAGTATTTTTCTTATTTCTGTAAGAAATAGGACCTTTGGGACCTTCTCCCCCAGGGCCCTGGTGCTTCTGTCACGCCTGGAGGAGGGGACGGTACCTTCAGGCCTGCTCTCCAGTGTGTGCTCACGGCCCCCTTGTCTCTCACAACTGGCTGTTTGCGTCAGGAGCCAAGTAAAGTCCACACGTGACACTCAGGCTCTTTTGAGTCCTGGGTCTCTACTTGCCAGAAGCACTTCTGACGCCCCTGTTATTCTTATGCCGCTAATACCTTCTCAGTGTCCTAGGTATGACCGGTTGCTTCGGATCAGAGCGCTCAGGTGGGAATATGGCAGCGTCTTGCCGAACGCATTACAATTCCACATGTCTGCTGATGAAGTAAGTTAGCATTGTTGTTCAAGCGTATGAATTTGGAAAATGCTGAAGTGCTGGCATTGTTCTAAAATAGTATTTATTGGTATTTCTCTTTTTGTTTTTAACCTCTGTTTTCAGCAATTTTTGGTTTGTATTTATTTAGTATATAGTGTGATAGGAAATAATGTGGTGAGGAGTAATTTTAAATGCTATATGAAAAACTCTGCTGTTACTTTACAAAGTAGAGTGTCATTATAATAGTGATTAGTGATCCATCAGTAGGATTAAAAAACTGGCATCATTATTTGGGAGTTTTCCATAAAATCGTGTGTGTGCACACATGTGCGCTTTCCAAGTCAACATTGCAAATTCATATTTGTAATGAAGCTCTTGATTTGTCTAGTCACTGAGGCACAGAGCTAGCCCAATATTTAAGGACATAGGGTTGAAGTCCGGCAGACTTGGATTCAAATTCTGGCTCTCCACTAACTGTCTAATCTTGAGCATGTAACTTGACCTCTCTCTATGCCTAAATTTCCTCATTTACAAAATGAGGATCATAGTACCTACATGTTGCAGGTTGCAGTGACTTCTGACATTACCTGCAGTTAGGGCAGACATCACGGGTTAAGTGCTTAGTCTTCCTCAAGCCTGCCCTCCCTTGAGATGCCAGCCGCAAGTTCAGGGGTCTCACTATCCCCTTAGGTTCAATAATTCACTAGAATGACTCACAGAACTCAGGAAACCACTATACTTAACATTACAGTTTTTATTACAGCAAAAAAGATACAAATGAGAGCCAGCCAAATGAAGAGACTCATAGAGTAAGGTCTGGGAGGGTTCCAAACTTGAAGCTTCCAATATCCTTTCCCTGAGGGATCAGGATGCATCATTGTCCTGGCACATTTATGTGTAACAACACACAGAGGATTATCAACCAGGGAAGCTCACACATGCTTGGCTGTCCAGTGTGTTGGAGTTTCATTACATAGACTGATTGAATCTTGGTCCTGTGATTGAGCCCAATTCCCACCCCTCCCTGGAGGTCACACTGATAACAAGGATGAAGCCCCATCCTCTCATCACATGGTTGGTCTTTCTGGGGCAGCCAGCCCGGACTCTGAGTCATCTTGTTAGCACAGACTATCTGAGGGCCCAATATGAGTCTCCCCATTAGCACATGTGATCAGGGCCCACCACAAATAACAAGACACTCCTATCACTTGAGAAAGTCCAAGGATTTTAGGAGCCACCTCCCAGGAACAGGGGACAAAGGCCAGCGAAATTCTCTATTCTACAACACAGTTATTACAAGGCTAATCACAGGGTTACTTCAGGTGATCCATATGGAATGCAGCATAGGATGGCACTCAATAATGTCAACAGTTACTATGTTTGGGTACCATAGCACATAGCTTAACAAAGCAAATGTTCAATTCATTTGCCATTAGCTTCTGCACAGTTTCGAAAGTGGTGATCAATTTGCTAACAGACTTTCATTGGTCTTTTTATTCTTTCCATTTTCTGGATAAATAAATGAGTAACCTCTATCTCAGATTTGCCAATAACTATGAAATTGGTAACATGTTAGTACTTCAGTTTTCAGTTTGTTTCCATGTTCTTTGTGTTCAGATCTACTTAATGTTAATTAAACTTTAGGGTATTTCTTGTGTATTATGGTGAAATGAACAGAATACTGTGTTGTTTCTCTAACGATAGCTGTTAATATCATGATTTTTCTCATAAAATATTTCATAATAGATTAGTGTATTTCTTAGACTTTTATAAATGGCTGCAAACTATACATTTATTCAAGCACATCTATTAGATTTCATATTGGGCAATGTATTTCTGAGGATAGCATTTTTTTGTGATTATTGAATTAGCAAAGTCAATTCCTATGTTAATAAAATATAACCATATCAACAGCATATAAAAGAATGTTAATGGGTCTAGAGATTAAGCCGTTTGAGAGTAGTAAAACCTGAGAGTTTCTTGGAAGAGTTTGTGCATTACTGTAAAACTGGCAAATGACTTCCTTCTATCCCAGTGTCCTCATCTATAAAAAGAAATATACTTGTCTTCTGTCTCTCAGTAGTAGAGTTTTGGAAAAACTCAAGGATGACAATAAGAAACCAATATAGGTACACTTGGTACCAGACTGCAGATAGCCCTGCCTGAGCAGTGGCATGGTGCAACTGTATCAACCATTTTGGACCAGCAACAAAGAATATTCCTGGGTATCCCTGACACCTTACAGGAGACCATCAGGTCTGAGTGTCACCACGAGTGTCTGTTACCCAAGCGTAGTGCTTCAGTGGTGACATGTGGGCTCAAGTCTGCCACCTGGGTTCACGTACCCACCTTGTTTATTAACTCTGAGCCCTCTGGTAAATTATCCAATCTCTCAAAGCTTTAGTTCTTCATTGATGAAAAGAAAATAATAGTACTTATATCTGGGTTGATTATAAGGAGTAAACAAAATAATGCATGTTAAAATTTTAGCATTTTCTTGGTCCACAGTAAGCACTTTGTATAAATATTAGCAGGGATGATGATCTCAATATTGTTGACTTATAGCAACAATAAAAGTAAAAAGCAGAGCTAATACAAGGCACCAACATGAAACAGAGACGATTGTGCTTTAGCAATGTTTAGAGAAACCACCATTGGAAGAATATGAAAGTGGGTATATAGATAATATGTAAAAATCTTCTCAATATCTAATTTCAGAATAGTAAAATATTTTGTGTTTTCTTTGGCTTTGTTTTTTGATTGCCTAAAATTTCTATTTAAATGTAGAATCTTAGGCTGGGCATGGTAGTTCATTCCCATAATCCCAGCACTTTGCAAGGCCAAGGCGGGAGGATCACTTGAGCCCAGGAATTCGAGGTTGCAGTGAGCTGTGATCCTGCGACTGTACTCCAGCCTGGGCAACAGAGCGAGACCTTGTCTCTAAAACAAACAAACAAACAAACAAAAAAATATATGTATACACACACATACACACACACACATGTAAAATCTTCAAGCCACTAACACATGAAAGACAATGAAAATAAATGTTTTTCCTTTCCCATTAATATTTTTCCATAAATAAATATTTTGTGTCAGTATGTTTTGTGGAAGAATCGTGTCTATTCTACTTTGCCCTTACATCCATGAATGAGACTGGATAGGGGTAATGCCCTCATTGCCAAAGCAGCTTCTGATTATTCTCAATGGAGACACTGTAAAAAAGACCAAGGTGGAAAGATCTCTTTTTTTACTCATTTGGAAACATCTCTCTAAGGAAACTATTTCATCATACTTATCAATACAAAAATAATATTTTTTATCTTTTGTTATTATAAAATATAGTGCAGTTTTTACCCACCTAGGCATATATCCGTTTTGAGTCCTTTGGAATCTTTCTTGATCCCTTAATTTAACCATTTGCATTATGAAATCAAACATATATGTGGACACACATATGCACATACAGAAAGGTGCACAAAACACAGATGTGCAGCCTAATGGTGTGTCACTGAGGACCTCACACATACCTATGACCCTGTTAAGAAAGAGGATGTGGCCCCAAAAGCAGTGTCCCTCCTCCTAGTGGCCACTAACCTCCTGACTTTTGTGGAGACTAATCACTTCCTTACTATTTAAAACATTATTATTTTACCACCTAGGCATGCATCCTGTTTAAACACTATAATGTTGCTCATTTTTTGAGCTTTATATAAATACATTCATGAAGTAATTCTTTAACGACCAACATCTTTAACTAAACATATTTTTGAGATTCTACCCTGTTGATGTATTAGCTGTAGTTCATTTCTTTTCACTGCTGTATAGTATTTTATTCCAAGTAGAGACTGCAATTTATTGTTGATATTGTTTTCAGTTTTTGACAGTGATGAACAATGCCATTATGACCATTGTTGTAGTATGGTAATTATGCACTTCTGATAGGTACCTGGGAGTGGAATTGCCAGTAGAGGAGCGATATATCCTAGTTTATGCCTGTTGTCCCAACATAATTATTAATATTACCTCTTATTCTCAAAAGTGTTCTGGATACCTTTTTACAATAAATTATATGGACAACATATAATTTATATGGTCACTTGTGTCCAGGGTTTTTAAACCTCAATACTGTTGACGTTTTGGTTTGAATAAATATTTGTTGAGAGCTGTCTTGAGCATTGTAGGATATTTAGCAGCAGCCCTGGGCTCTACCCACTAGAAACCAGCCAGTAGTGCTCCCCTCCCTCAAGTCATGGCAACCAGAGTGTCACCGGATCTTGCCACATGCCCCCTTGGCATTCAGGACCTCTGGGTTTAGTCTGTAGCGTATATGTATGTTCACCTAGATAGTGTCCGGTGGTTGTCCAAAGGACTGTGTCCTTTCTGTTCCCATCAGCAGTGTCTCTGGCTCCTGTTGGTCCACATTTGCACCCATGCAGTCAGTCTCTACATTCAGCCTCTGTGATAGTATGTAGTGGTATCTCATTTTCATTTTAATTGGTGTTTTACTGATTAATGAAACTGAGTGTATTCTTTTGTTTATTGGCCATTTGGATATCCCCTTTTGTGAAATATATATTCAAGTCTCTTACTTATTTTTACTTCACATCCAGTCATCAGTTGATGGACATTTGGGTCTTTTTCTTATTACTTCGTAGCATTTATATTCTGGTTATTTATGTCCTTTGTCAATTATGTGTATTGAAGATATTGTCTGCACCGCTGTAGCTTTTGACTTTGCAATTTCCTAATGGCATCTTGTAATAAACAGAAGTTCTGGATTATTATTAATGTGACCAACTTATTAATTTTTGCCTCTATGGTTAGTTTTTTGTTTTTGTTTCTTGTCCAATTGGAGAAATCATTGTCTACCCCAAGGTTATTAAGATATTTTTCTACGTAAGCTTTTAGGGGCTGTATTTTACCTTTCACAAAGAGATCTCCAGTACTGGGGTTGTTTTTTGTGTATACTGTAGGAGTCACATTTCATTTTTGAGAATGGATATCGAGTTGACTTGGCACCATTTATTGAAAAGATCCTCCTTTCTCCATCACTGTGCGCCTGGTGCCACCTTCGTGATATATTGAACGTCAGTATTTCTGTGGATTTTGAATGGCATTTTGTTAGCCTATTTGTCTGTCTTTACACCAATTCCACTGTTGTCATTGCTGTAACTTTATGTCTTGTTCTTTTTCAAGAGTGTTTCAACTATTTTGGGCCCTTTCCACTTCCATGTAAATTTTAGACTCAATTTCTCAAGTTCCATTTTTAAAAGAGTTCAGGTTTTGGTTGAGATTGAATTGAATCTATAGATCAGTTGACATTATTACAATATTGAATCATCCAATCTGTGAACGTGGTATATCCCTCCATATATTTAGGGTCTTCTTTCAGTTCTCACAACAGTTTTTTTTAAAAAATAACAGATTTACTAAGATACAATTCATAGCATGAAGTTTACCATTTTAAAATGTACAGTTCAGTGGTTTTTAGTATGTTCACAGAGTTATGCATCGATTATGACCATCTTATTCCAGAACATTTTCATCACCCCAAAAAGAAACCCTTTATAATTACTCTGCATTCTCAAGACGAACCTAGGCAACATAGTGAGACACCGTCTCTACAAAAAATTGATTAAAAATTAGCCAAAGCATGGTGGCACATGCCTGTGGTCTGAGATAATCGGGAGGCTAAGGCGGGAGGATCACTTGAGCCCAGGAGTTTGAGGTTGCAGTGAGTTATGATTGTGCCACTGCACTCAAGCCTGAGTGACAGAGTAAGATCCGATCTCAAAAAAAAGAAAGAAAGAAAAGAAATAGCATTAGTTCAGAGTTTGAGGAAAGCATAACTCTAAAATAGTGTCTCTTTCATGTTTCTGTTTCTGTTTGAATGTTCTTGAGGTTTATGATTAAGTATGCTGGAATGTAAGCCCTGTGAGAGCAGAGATTTTTGTTCGATTTGTTGAATGATTGATCTTAATTAAGTACCCAGACCAATGCCTAGATCATAGAGGGCAATCAATAATGTTTGTAGTGTAAATGAATGAATGGTCACAATAATTATTCATGTTGAGATGTATACTGTTTTTGAAAGGATGAGTATGCAGTTTGTGCAAGTTTTCTTACAACTTTGTCAAATGACCAATCTCTTATGTTTGCAGATGGAGTGGTTCAATCATTATAAAAAGTCCCTTGCTACTTATATGAGGTCACTGGGAGGAGATGAAGGTTTGGACATTACACAGGATATGAAGCCTCCAAAAAGCCTGTATATTGAAGTATGTATACCTTTTAAAAGTGCATTTTTTAAAATATGTAGATTGTGCTTATATATTAGCTTCTATTATAAAAGAAAGGAAACGTAAACCAAAACCAAAAAAGCTACCTATAGGGGGATAACAGAATAGGAGGCAGCTAAAATTTTCTGCATATACCTATTTTAATTTTGACTTCTGAACCATGTAAATGTTGTACTTATTAAAACAAAATTAAATAAAAATGGAAAACCAATCACTAAGTTTTGAAAACAAATGAACCTGTCTTTCAAGTTGGTGGATTAGTCAAATAGGAATTATTCTTGCTTTGTTTTGTTTAGTTTTTAAATTTTTTCACTTTTTAAAATTATAAAATACACATAAATTTACCATTTTTAAGTGTACGGTTCAGTGGTGTTAAAGACTTTCATAATGTTGTGCAACCAGCACTATCATCCATGTCCAGATATTTTTTTCATCTTATGAAACAGTAACTCTCCAATTCCCTGTCTCCACAGCTGCTGGCATCCACCATTCTACTTTCTGTCTCTCTGAATTTGACTACTCTAATTGGCTCATAAATGGAGTCATACAGTGTTTGTCATTTTGTGACTGGCTTTTTTCACTTAGCATGATGTCCTCAAGGTTCATCTGTACTATAGCATGTGTCAGAATTTCCTTTTTTTTTCTAAGACTAAGTAATATTCCTTTGTATGGATCTGCCACATTTTGCTTATCTGTTCATCCATCGATGGACACTTGTGGCTGCATCCGTGTTCTGGCTTTTGTGACTGATGCTGCTGCTGATGTGGGTGACTGATGCTGGTGCTGACATGGAGGTACATGTATCTTTGAGACCCTGCGTTCAGTGCTTTTGGGTACACACCCAGAGTGGAATTGCTAGATCACATGGTAATACTATCTTTAAATTTTGAGGAACAGCCGTACTGTTTTCCACAGTAGCTATACCATTTTACCTTCTTGCCAACAGTGCACAGCATTCCAGATTCTCTGCATCTTCACCCACACCTAGTATTTTGTTTTTCTTTTTCTTTTTTTAATCATAGCCATCCTAAAGGGTGTCAAATGGTATCTCATTATGGCTTTGACTTGCATTGCCCTAATGATTATTAATAGTTATGTTGAGTATCTTTTTATGTGTTTATTATAATCTATTTATATGTCTTCTTTGGTGAAATGTCTATTCAGGCAGAAATTTTGTGTGTTATCTTTTTAAAACTCCTGAGACTTAACTTGTAGTCTGATGTGGCCTGTCATGGAAAATGTTCTATGTGCACTTGAGAAGAATGTGTGTACTGCTGTTGTTGAGTAGGGTGTCTTGTGTATGTCTGTTACATCTAGTTGTTTTTTTTTGTTAAGCCCTCTGCTTACTTATCTTCTGTCCATTATTGAGAGTGGGGTATTAAAGTATTCAACTATTATTGTCTGTTTCTCCCTTCAATTTTGTCAGTTTTTGCTGTTGAAAACCAGACATTTAAATCTAATAATGTCGTAACCCTATAAGTCAGATTCTCTGCCTTCCCCAGGGTTTGCTGTTTTTTGTTACTGTTTCTATTTATTATTTTTGTTTATTTGATTGTTGTAGGCTGTCTCTGTGCCAAAAATCAGCCTGAGGTATAATCTTAAGGTCTTCTCAAGTCTTTTCTGAGCCTGTGCCTTTCCCTGGGCATGTGTGGTCACGTTGGAATTTTCCCTGTATATACAGTTGCTTTAGAATGTCCTGGTCTTTAATGTCTGGCTCCCAAAAGGAGAAAAAGAGAAAAATGAAAGGGGGAGAAGAAGGGTGCTGGCCCTTTCAATCCCCTGGAATTCACTTCAGCAAGAAGAAGAGTGGCTTGCAGCATTTGGGGAGGTGCAGCAGCCATGGCTGTCCACCTCGTTGTCTGCATGGCTGTGATCAGGAACAGCAGCTGGCAGCCAGCACAGGGTGCTTTGCTCTGCTTCTGTAACCTGAGTACAAGCTCCTTCAGGAACACATGCGGTGCTGCCTGCCACAGGGCTGAGGGCAGGGGAGGGGTAGCTACTACCATGTTAAGAGCAAAATTGATAAAAATTGACACAATTTACTGTCCAAGCTCCAACCTCAAGCTTTTAATAGGCTCCAGAGTACCAAGACATCAGACAAAGTCTGCCAGTGCAATTATTGGGGAGACCAATTCCTGATGCTTCCTATTCTACCATCTTCCCAGAATCCAGGAATTATTTAAATTGCTTTAAACATATAAGTTGATTGTATATTCCCAGTATGTATATTCTAAGGACAAAAAAATTGTAAAGAGGTCTTAACATGTTTTTATTAATCATATTATTAGTAATAATATTGTTACTGTTATTTTGAAACAGTTTACATATTGAAGAATTAGAGCAAAAATGTCATGTTACTAGGAACCAAAATTTTTCAAGATGATAGAAAAGAAATTTAAAAATACTAAGTGGAATACTAAGTGGGAAAGTTAAGGGAAACTTTCATCTTTCTAAACTTGAGTTTGAAATGTCAGGATGGACTTATGAATCATCTCTTTTTTAAAAAATGGGGGGGGGCGGAATTTATTAGCTCTGCCCACGGAAAAGGCCTAGAGACAACAACCAACCCAGAGTTAACCATGAATGTACATAATTTTAGAGTCTAAATGCCATTTCCCACCAGGGGGAAAGGAAACCAGGACTCCTTGAAAAAAAAAATGGTTGATTCTAGGTCTTGAATAAAAAATGTACAAGCTGAATGTGGAATACCTTGTCTTCCCAGAAAGGAAGGGAGGTGCCAGGGACTCTGTGGGGAGTGCTGGAAGGACTTGGGAGCCAGTTTGAAGGAGCTCTCACTGGCCAGAGAGTGGGCAGTTTGAGCATCAAAACAAGGAATAACTGTAGTGAATTGGATCACATCAGTTAGTTAGCAGCATGAATGCGTAATGACATCAAACAACAAAAATTTAAAAAATAAAACTTTTTGGGTCTCCTTGGAGAAAAAGAGGGACCCAGCTCATTTTCAAAGATGGCAAATAGGTTGGTGCAAAAGTAATTGCGATTTTGGACGGACCGTGAATTTTAAATCATTATAACTAGGATCAAACACATCTTTATTAATCAAAATAGGAACCATTACAATCAACATATTTTTGCCAACAAGAAATAAGTTTGTTTATTCCTGTAGCATAAAAATCTGTGCTCCGGGATTTGACAAACTCTTGGAAAGCATTTTCTGCATCCTGCTGGTTGTGGAAGCATTTTCCCTGCAAAAAGTTGTCAAGATGCTTGAGGAAGTGGTAGGCAGTTGGTGAGAGGGCAGGTGAATATGGCAGATGAGACAAAACTTTGTAGCCTAATTCGTTCAACTTTTGAAGCGTTGGTTGTGCCACTGCAGTCGAGCGTTGTCGTGGAGAAGAATTGGGCCCTTTCTGTTGACCAATGCCAGGGGCAGGTGTTGCAGTTTTGGTGCATCTCATCGATTTGTTGAGCAGACTTCTCAGATGTCATGGTTTCGCCAGGATTCAGAAAGCTGTAGTGGATCAAACCAGCAGCAGACCACCAAACAGTGCCCATGACCTTTTTGTGGTGCAAGCTTGGCTTTGGGAGGTGCTTTGGAGCTTATTCTCAGTCCAACCACTGGGCTGGTCTTCGCTGGTTGTCGTATAAAATCCACTTTTTGTCACATGTCACAATCCGATCAAGAAACGGTTTGTTCTTTCTTACAAGAAGAGAAGATGACACTTCAAAACGCTGCTTTTTTTTGAGTTTTGGTCAGTTCATGAGGTACCCACTTAACAAGGTTTTTCACCTTTCCAGTTTGCTCAAATGCCAAACGACTACAGAATGGTTGACCTCGAGTTCTTCGGCAATTTCTCATGTAGTTGTAAGAGGATCAGCTTCGATGATTGCTCTCAATTGGTTGTTGTCAACTCCCGATGACCAGCCACTGCACTCCTCATCTTCAAGGCTCTTGTCTCCTTTGCAAAACTTCTTGAACCACCACTGCACTGTACATTCATTAGCAGTTCCTGGGCCAAATGTGTTGTTGATGTTGCGAGTTGTCTCTGCTGCTTTACGACCCATTTTGAACTCGAATAAGAAGATCGCTCGAATTTGCTTTTTGTCTAATATCATTTCCATAGTCTAAAATAAATGTAAAATAAACAGCAAGTAGTAAATCATTAACAAGAAAATATAAAGCGAGAAATGGGCATTAAAATGATGTATAACATAACCACATTTATTTAAGAACGTATTCCAATATCAAACAGCAAATTTCAACAATGCTAAAACCGCAATTTTACTTACGCACCAGCCTAATAGAGAATGGAATTGAGCCCCCATCTGCCTTTACTGCACAAACCATGTCTCAGGGTAGCCCAGTAGTTTACCTTGGGAATTTCTTTTTTATAGAGGAATCCCCCGAACAAATGCATCGAGATTAAAAGAACTAGATTAACGCCATTTTGTAATCTTTAGCTACTGAAACCTTTCAGTGAATAGTTAATGGAAAGCTTTATTATGAATGGATATGCACACGTATGGATGGCACCCAGACCCACTGATCAGTCAACACCCAAAGAGAGACAGCCACTTTATGCTTTGTGTCGCCTTGTAACAGGAAGTACATGACACCACTGGCCAAAAAAATCACACCTTAGCTGATAAAGCCTCTTGACCTCATTTCTAATTTTTTGGAATTCAGAGGCAGAGGGACATGTAAAATGACCTCACAGAAATCCACAACAAAATTTTGGTTGCGGGAAGTTATACCAAACTACTCACCCAGTTTCTTCCACAAATAAATTGCCACATGGAAAGAAAAACATAAAAAAGAGGAAGGGAAACTCATAGATTAAAAGAGATTTACGAGACATGTCAAAAACTTGTAATGTGTAGCTCTGTTGGATTCTGATTTCTACTTGGAAACTTGTATACTAGCTAGATATTTCATGGTATTAAAAATTATTGAGATTAGCTATTAATGATGAAATTGTGAAATGATGTCTACGATTTGCTTCAAAATAGTCCAGAAGTGGGTGAAGGGAACAAATTTGGCCACATGTTGATATTTATTGAAGCCAGTTGAAGGGACCATGGAAGGTCGTCATAGTAGTCTTTTTACTTTTGAATGTGTTCAAGATTTTCCAAAATAATGGTTTATTTACAGAACCAAATAGGTGTGTGTGGTGGGGGGCTTCTAGAGTAATATTTCCCATGTTAAGTTAAAATACTTGGGGAATCATGGTGAAATTCCAGAGGAGTCACAGGACGTGATGACGCTATCTGGAAGAGCAGAAGACAGGGCTGCTGCCGGAGCGGGCTCTGCTGGAGGCAGCAGCAGGTCAGTACTCTTACCCAGGAGAATAAACTTCCTCTCACAGGAGAGGAAGAATGTCTGCCTTATTTCCTGTAGCAGCACTTAGTGCTGTAGCCAGGTCTGCAACCTGCACCCGGGGACACCTTTGAATGGCCTTGTCTGCAGTTGTAGAGGTGGCTGTCAGAAGGCCGCCTCACCCTCCCACCTTGGGACTAAGAGTCTCTCCTAAATCCTGTCCTGTGAGGCTGCATCTGTTCTTTGCCGATGTACTTCTAAGTATTCTTGGAAAGGAATGTGAATATTAAAGGGGATTGGAAGAATCTCTTCCAACAACAAGTTTACAGACCTGCCTGTGTCCTCTTCTCAGATATTGGTATTTTGTGGGAGCGGTCAATAAGAAGCAGGCTGAAACAGATCTAAAACTTGCATTGTAGACAGATATTTCACCTGCTTAATTTTTCAGGATTTTTAGAGGGGAAAGGATCCAGCGATGTTGTCCCTCTTGCCCAGCTCCCTGGGCTTCCTTGCTGTCAGTGCTGACATACGTACACGTTCAGAGATTTTGCCACTCTTCTCCCTCCCTGTCACAACAGGACAAGTGAACCATGAGAGTACCAAGTGGTAGTACTAGGCCTAGGCACACAGAGATGAAACAAACAGAAAGTCTTGTACTTTTTACTGTTTGGGTATTTATATAATGCCTGTTTACTTTTTGGTCACTACATATTAAAAAATAATTTAGATAAAGCATCAGTTTTTCTTTTCAGGTCCGGTGTCTAAAAGACTATGGAGAATTTGAAGTTGACGATGGCACTTCCATCCTGTTAAAAAAAAATAGCCAGGTATTTCTTGTCTTCATATTCTTTAAATCTTACGAGAGTATTGAATGGTAGAAATATTGGGGGTCGGGTGTGGTGCTCACACCTGTGACCCCAGCACTCTGGGAAGCTGAGGTGGGAAGATCGCTTGGGCTCAGGAGGATGAGGCCAGCCTGAGCAAGAGCAAGACCCTGTCTCTACAAAAAATAGAAAAAATTAGCTGGGTATAGTAGCACACACCTATAGTCCCAGCTACTTGGGAGGCTGAGGCAAGAGGATCGCTTGAGCTCAAGAGTTTGAGGTTGCAGTGGGCTATGATGATGCCACTGCACTCCAGCTAGGGCAACAGAGTGAGACTCTGTCTTTTAGAAAAAAAAAACTAAGCATTTTCTAGGGCAGTTATCACAATGGGCCTTATTCTGGTTAAATGGTAGATAATTATCCAGAGGCTGTTTAACTGTTGGATTTAGTTCCTTTCATCAACTTACATTTGTAAAAATGTTGCTAAGCACTCATTTTAGCTCATACTTCACTTTATAAATCCTAGTTCTTTAGGAAACAATGATATAGATCAAGAATTTCTAAGTAGTTAGTATATAAACATAGCAGAATCTAACAGGGAAAGATTAAAATTGTAAAGTTGTAGCTTAAGCTAAATTTTTCCTCATAAACAATCTCAATATATTTATTGTTTCCTTAGAAATCTTCAAATTCACATTAGCTGAATTCATGTTAGCTAAATTTATTTTTCTCCTGTTCCAATTTTTTGAAGTTTCTGACAAATGACCTCATAAAAGCCACTTTCTTTCTTTGCCTGCTCTCGTGGTGTAGCCCGTTAGTATCTGATGACCCTAAGTCACTGGTGCTCACTTTGTTGATGCCGGAGAGCAAAAGAATGCTTCAGGTCACGTGGTCCTTGGGCTTATTTCCCTAATAGAGGATGAGTTGTTATTTTATTTTACTAGTACCCTTGGAGCTTTAAATCGTTTTCTAAAACAAAGATTGAATATTTTAAAAACAGATTTTGAGGCTACCCCAAAGTCTTTGGTTATTAAGGCAACAATTTCACACCCAAGTGTCCTCTTAGAAGTAGGACACTAATGCATTGAAAGCAGATGACAAATGAATACTCTTATAAGAATGTGTGTTTCTGGAGGATCCAGGAGGAAGCTCTGGTTCACAAGAACTAAGCCATCTTCATAAAGCAAGATACGCAAAACGTCCCTTCATCCCAAACACTTCTCTGTGGTTGAATTTCTTTCTCAGGCTTCTGCCTGAGAAAGGCTGATCTGCCCACCAGTGTGCATGTTTGCTTCTGTGCTGGGCCATTTCATTTTTCTGTGTGGACCATGGAAAAACCTTCCTCATGGTGATGCTTTTATCTCTCAGCTGTGACCCCATCCTCGATTATAAAAATGTTGACATTAGAAAAAACCCTGTTAATCAACCATAGTTGATAATAAGGGGCTTCTGATGTGCAACCACATCTATTATCGATTTGCTATAGAATCTGTGGTGCTGGTCATTCACATGATGTAAAAGCGTTAGTAGGCAAATGTTTTCTTAACGTATATTCTTTTATACTTGTCAATATGGCAAGTATTGTTTCTTTCTGTCCAGAGATCAGAATTCCCCCTCCTTTTAATAACAGCATAAATGAACAACTAAGTGTGTTTTGTGGTGGTTTTTTTTTACATTTTACATTTTTAAGGCTTGTTAAAGATTCAGTTAACAAGTAGACAACAGCCCTCAGCCTGTGTGTCTTTATGACCGGTTTAGAAGGATTTGGTCACCAGCCTCCCATTAGGCCTTGGGTTTGTGAGGCAGGACCTTTGGTGCACAATGCCACTGATGGTACATTTTGCTTCCTTGAAATCTTTAAGATTTCTTTGACTACCCGTGAGCTTGGAAAGTCTTCCTGCCTTGCTTCCTTTCCTGTACTGCCGCCGCACCCCTATACTCTGGGGTGTAGTAAATGTTCACTTCTGTGCTAAGGAGGAAAGGAGATTTCTTTCACTTGCCTTTGGTTCCCTGAGTGCAAGAGTGGTGTCCTCTCTGGAGGACACAGGACAAGCATTTAGCTGGGTAGCAGCATCTTCACACACAGCATGTGAACAGCAACCCACATTGTAGGTGTGAAACACTTTCAGTCCTTGAAAAATACAGGAGAAAAGTTGTCAGTGTTATTATTAGAAGAATAAATGTTCAGATTCTCAAATCCTGGAGCAGTTTCATGGAGAAGATGTTCCTTTCCTTGGTCTTCCTGATTGGCTGCTGGACCAGTTATAACCCAGCGCCCAAGATCTCACCCATCTGAGTTTTTCTGTGCGTAACTTAAAAATGCAAACAGTAAGGAAAATATCTACTAGAATTCAGAAGTTTTTAGTTGAATTGAATTTAAGTAAACTATGAATTCATTTATAAAAATCAGAATTCAGTACAGCTCTTAGTGGCATCCATTTATCGGTGGATTAAAACAGTAAATACACTCATATAGTTGAGTTTAACTTTTAACTATTAATACTGAGCTATTGGAATTTGGAAACTATCTAATCAGTGTTGCTTTTTAATGATGCCAAAAGTAATTTCACATTCTTTCCCAAGCGTTTCTCTGACTTTTCCCCCACTCCGTTCCCCTCAGCACTTTTTACCTCGGTGGAAGTGTGAGCAGCTGATCAGACAAGGGGTCCTGGAGCACGTCCTGTCGTGACGGTGACCGCACGTGATCCTGCGCCGGAGCACCGCCGGCCTTCACTGGCGAACTCGGAATCTTCTACACTCGCTCTCCACCCTCCCTCCACCTCCCTCTTTGATTTAAAAAGATATGGACATCCTTTAAGATAACCAGGAATACTCGGCTAAGCAGAATGATTTGCTAACTCTTAGGAACTTGTGTTTTTTTATGTTGTACACTGTTGTATTCTTTCTACTCCTTTTTGTAATAAGCTGTATCATAACATTCCTACAGTTATTACAATGTATTCTTTTAAATGAAAGTAAACGTTACTATATTTTAATCTCTTTTAAATAATGAGAGTGTGCATCTTGTGTTGTTTTCTGGTTGTGCGTTGTACAAGCCAGGAGCTGAATTTCTGGAATACATGTTTCCATATCACATGGGCTGGTGATATATGGAAAGATGATGATCTGTAGAAATTTTCAGTATATTTAATGTTTAATGACTTACTAATTTATCATCTGGCTGTTTGGGAAGGAAGGACACATGGATTTTGCCCATTTTCAGTAGTGGCTGGTTTGGCTCGTGGCTGTGGGTCAGCATGGGTATCGCCACTTTGGAAAGGGATGTGGAAATTAGGGCCAGAGAAGGAACTTGGTACCGTTTTCCCTGAGACTCACATTGATCATGGAGTCACCTGAAGAGTGGGCTGCCTAAGTTAAGGTCCATTTTTATCATCTGCTGGACTGTGAATGGTAGGAGTCACAGCGGCATAAACTGGTCCAGCCTTGTGGTCAGTGGCCATTCCCCAGCCATGTCGTCTGAAAGAAGTATTCAAACTTACACATCCAGACAGACCAGTTCCTAGCACATGCTGTGTATGCAGTTTGATTTTTATACAAGGGAATGTTTCTGGCCAAAATTATTGTCAAGAGATCAAGTAATAGACTTCACCTAGGATGTGGATCTGTTTGTTTTCTGACAGACCTGCTTAGGTCAGTAGGCTGCCCTTTGTAGGTTATTTTCATTATTGAAAATAATTTCTCCCCATAATCTTCACACCCAGATCAATTTCCTTAGAAATCTCTACTCACTTAAGAATAAGAAAAATTTCCCTAATGAGTCGGATGGATGATGTTGATGTTTTAGCTCTGGGTCAGTGGTCACTTCCCCTTTCCTCGTATCAACTCCCACGTGCACAGGTGAGCCCTGCAGCCCACCCAGAATGGCTCAAGGGGACACTCCTGTGGAGGGTGTGTCATGTAGCCAGCCAGCATCTTTCCTGAACTTACATCATTTGGTGTCCTTTGTGTATGATTCCCTAAATAAAATAATAATTAAGTACAATCCTTATTTGAAATGAATGTATACTAGTTGCAAATTTTGACATTGTGGAGTTTATGTTAATTTATATTGACTGGCTCTCTAATTAGAATTGTGGCTAGAATTTTAAACCTGTCGTATCATTTTTCCTTACTCTAAAAGCAATCTGGCTGGGCTCAGTGGCTCACGTCTGTTATTCCAGTGCTTTGGGAGGCTGAGGTGGGAGGATCACTTGAGGCCAGGAGTTTGAGACCAGCCTGGGCAATATAGCAAGACCCCCATCTCTACAAAAAAATGTAAAAATTAGCCCGGTGTGGTGGCACACACACCTCTAGGCCCAGCTGCTCAGGAGGCTGAGGTGGGAGGATTGCTTGAGCCCAGGAGCTTGAGGTTGCAATGAACTACAATCACACGACTCCAGCCTGGACTACACAGTGAGACTCCCTATCTTTAGAAAGAAAAAAAAAAAGTAATCTATATGCAGTAAAAAAACAAAAAACAGGTAAAAAAAAAAAAATGTAGAAAATGAAGGCAAGTTACCCCTTCCCCTACTAGATACCACTATCCATTGTGCCACCGTTAACTAGTCCCACAGGTATCCTACAGACCCATTTCTTTTAGGTATGTTTCCAATTACGTTCTAGTTTCTGTTCCTAATGCGAATGGATTCTTTTTTCTCTTATATTTTCCAATAGGCTTTGGCTGATACATGTAAGAAAGCTGCAATTGTGATGATTTGGCCACATTCTAATATTTACGTAAATTCATTTCTTTCTTTTTTTTTTGAGTCTCTGTCACCCAGGCTAGAGTGCAGTGGTGTCTGCCTAGCTCACAGCAACCTCAAACTCCTAGGCTCAACCAATCCTCCTGCCTCAGCCTCCCGAGTAGTTGGGACTACAGGTGTGTACCACGACACCCGGCTAATTTTTCTATTTTTAGTAGAGACAGGGTCTCGCTCTTGTTCAGGCTGGTCTCGAACTCCTGAGCTCAAGTGATCCTCCCATCTCAGCCTCCCAGAGTGCTAGGATTACAGGCGTGGGCCACCGGGCCTAGCCTCATTTCTTTTTTTCATTGATTTTTGCTGCCTAGGACGTTCAGAAAGATGTTGACTGCAGCTGGCAGTAGCTGTGCCTTCTCTTTTTCCCGACTTGGTTTTAAATGCTACAGTCCTGTTTCTCAATCTTCCTATCCCATATTTCTCCAGGAAAATTACCAAAACCTGTGGCGTCCCCCAGTGCAACTTGAAACAAACCCCAGCAAAAATTCAATACCGTAATTTAATGCAAACAAAACAGTGGTAATAAACAACTATGATTTTTCCAAGTGGGTTTTTGGAACTTGAGTGATCTTGTGGTGCTCACCTAACCCCCTCATGTTATAAATTATATAAATAGAATTTTGTTGTTCAACTCTCTTGCATTCTGGGCTAAACTCTTCTTGGCCATGGTGTGTTAACCATTTAGGGAACGGTAAGATTTGATTTGCTGATATTTTGCAGAGCAATTTTGCAACTCTACGTGATGCTCATTTATAGAGTTTGGAAGGGGGTGTGCGGGTCTGTGTGCATCTGTGCCTTGTCAGCACTTGCAGTTATCTATTTCTGTGAAACAAACCACCCAGACCTTGGCGCCTTTAACCCACACCTTTTTATGATCTCATGTTTCTGTGGGTTGTTGGGGCTCAGCTGGGCAGTTCTGCAGATCTTGCTCGGGCTCTGATGCAGCTGCGTTCCAGTGGCGTCCTGACTACGGGAGCTCCCCTGCGAGCCGGCAGCGCTCTTGCCTGGCAGCTCAGGGCCCCCCAAGTTTAAGACAGTGCAAGTGGAGCTGCTCATTTTCGGGAAGCCGAGGCCTGGTACTGGATGGGCACAGCTTGTGCCCCCCTCCATCAGTCAGCACAGTCACAGGACCCAGATGCAGTGAAGGGACCATGGAGCAGGTGAAGGCAGGACACCGAGTGGCACTGTGGCCAGGTGTGTGCTTGTCTGGACTGCGTTGGTGCTCATGCCTTTTTTTTTTGAGACAGAGTCTCACTCTGTTGCCTGGGCTAGAGTGCCGTGGCGTCAGCCTAGCTCACAGCAACCTCAAACTCCTGGGAGGAAGCGATCCTCCTGCCTCAGCTTTCCAGAGTGCTAGAGTTACAGGCACGCGCCACCGCATCCAGCCTCATTCCTCATTCCTTTATTTGTAATAAAAATGTAGACTTTTAAATAGCTTTACTACCTACAGGACCATCTGGGTATGAATCTTTTTTGTGGAAAGATAATGATCTTTGATGAATTTTTTTAGTTTCTTTAGTTTTTGGTCAATTTTTGGACTTTTTCTTGAGTAAATTTTAGTTGATTATGTTTTGCTAAATAATCTATTTTAATCTATCTTTTGAAATGTATTGACAATTTTTTTTCTTTTCTATACATACATATGGTCATTCCCAATACATGTCTATTTTCCTGGGGTTTTTTTATTCATAAAACTTTATGAAAATGGTATCTCCAATAATGTATTTGCCTTCTAGGATGTGGAGGACTACTTGTTACAATTGATAGTATTTAGGATGGGAAGAATTCTATTTTGTATCTTTACAAAAAACGTTCAATATATTCACATGGTACAAAATATATAAGGTAGACAACAAAAGTCTCAATTCCACTTCTATCCCCATCTGTCCCCATACCCACAGCTAACCACTTTTATTAGTTTCATGGCCATATTTTGGGTATTTTTATACAAATATGACTCTAAATTCTTGATTCCCCCTTTCACAGAGATACCACACTATATACTTAGTTTCTCATTCTTTTCTAAACATGCATAGTATCCTTTGTGACTGTGTTATGGGCTGAATTGTGTTTCTCCTGATTCAAATGTTCAAATCCCAATCTGTACCTCAGAGTGTGACTGTACTTGGAAATACGGCCTTCAAAGAGGTAATTAAGGTAAAATGAGGTCATATGGGTGGGCTTGTGTCTGACTTGTGTCCTTAATGAGAAGAGGAACTTTAGACAGACAGACACGTGCATGTACAGAGACATGTGGACACACAGCAAGAAGGCAGCCATCCTCACCCCAGGAGAGAGGCCTCAGAAGCAACCAAACCTGCCAACACCCTGAACTTGGACTTCCAGCCTCCAGAACTGTGAGAGAACAAATTTCTGTTGTTTAAGCCACCCAGTCTGTGGTATTTTATGGCAGCCCTAGCAGACTAATACAAGATGTTAAATAACTCCAGGGAATTTAATACTATGGAGTGTTAAATACTTAAAAATCCATTTCCCTATTGATGGATACTTGAGTTGCTTCCAACCTTTTGCTATTACAAACAATGCTAATGTGAGTGACCTTATACATATGTGATTTCACACATTATGGCTTTATCTGTAGGATAACTTTGGTTGCTCTTGCCAAAACTTACAGAAATTATAATAATTTGTACTACCACCAGAAATGAATAAGAGAAACTACCCCTCTTTCACCCCCAGTCCTGCTAATAGAGTGTTGTTTCTAGTTTCTGGCTATTACAAAAAAGATGCCAAGAACATTTTATATAAGTCTTCTGTGGACACATATTTCCTTTTGGGTAAATAACTAGGAATGGAATGCCTGGATCACATTGTAGGTATATGTTTAGCCTTTTAAGAAACTGCCAAACGATCTTTCAAGTAGTCATGCATTTTGTGTTCACACCAGCCGCGTATGGGAGTTCCACTTCTTCATATCCTTGCCAGCACTTGGTGTGCTTAAGTCTTTTTAATTTTGGCCATTCTAATAGGTAGTGCTACTTCATTGTGACTTTAATTTGCAATTCCCTAATGACTAATTGTGTTCAGTATCTTTACATGTGATTATTTGGAATATCTCTTTTGGTGAAATATTTATCGAAATCTTTTGGCTTTTTAAAAATTAGGTTTATTATTGATTTTTTTTTTTTTTTTTTTGGAGACAGAGTCTTGCTCTGTTGCCCTGGCTAGAGTGCCATGGCATCATCGTAGCTCGCCGCAACCTCAAATTCCCGGGCTCAGGTGATCTTCCTGCCTCAGCCTCCTGAGCAGCTGGGACTACAGGCATGTGCCACTGCGCCTGGCTAAGTGTTTCTATTTTTTTATTATAGTAGAGAAGGGGTCTCGCTCTTGCTCTGGTTGGTCTCAAATGCCTAGCCTCAAGTGATTCTCCCACCTCAGCCTCCCAGAGTGCTAGGATTACAGGGGTGAGCCACTGTGCCCAGCCTCTTCATGAATTTTGAGTGTTCTTTTACATATTTTGGATACAATTTTGCAAAACCTTTCTCCCATTCTCTGTATGTCTGTGTATGTGTGAATTTACTTCTGGACTCTGTTTTGTTCCACTGACCTATTTTTCTCTCCTAATGCTGATACCTTGCTATTTGTATGTAGTGTATGTAAGTTTTATAATAATTCTTGAAATAAGTAGTGCTAATGCTCTGCATTTCTTCTTTTTGACGTTTGTTTTGGCTATGCTAAGTCCTTTGCTTTTTATATGAAATTTAGGATCAGCTTGTCAATTTCCACCAAAAAAAAAAAAAAAAAAGACCTGCAAGCATTTTGAGCAAGATTGTATTGAATTTTTGTATCAATTTGGGGAGAACTGACATCTTAACAATATTGAGTCTTCTGGCCCATAAACAAGGTATGTATCCCCATTTCTGCTTTCCATTTCTGCCAGTAATATTTCGTAGTTTTCAGCGTACGGGTCTATCAAGTCTTTTGTCAGCGTTTCATAGTTTTCATGCTAAATGTTCTTTTTAAATTTCAAATTCTAACTGCTCGTTGCTAGTAAATAGAAATGCAATTGATGAACTTGTGTCCTCAGCCTCCCTAAACACTTATTCTCACTGCTTTTTTGTAAGTTACATCAATGGTCATGTTTTCTGTGAATAGAGTTTTACTCCTTCCTTTTAAATCTGATGCCTTTGATTTCTTTTTCTTGCCTGACTGCATTGGTTAGAACCTCCAGTCGATTACTAAATAAAAGTAGTCAGAGAAGACATCTCTATCCTGTCCTGATCTTAGAAGGGAAGCATTGTCTTTCACCACTGAGTATGAAGTTAGCTCTTAAGTTTTTTGTGGATGCCCTTTATTGGGGTAAGGATATTCCCTTCTATTCCTACTTTACTGAGAGTTGGTTTGTTTTTTTTTTTAATAAAAAATGGATGTTGAATTTTGTCATTATCCTTTTTCTGCATCTATTGAGATTTTTGTCTTTTAGTTTGTTAATATGTTGAATTACCGTGGCTGATTGATTTTTTTGATGTTAAACCAACCCTGCATTTCTGGCATAAACTATACTTGGTCATGATATATTATCCTTTTTGTGGGATTTTATTTGAAAATTTTATTTAGAATTTTTGCATCTGCGTTCATGAAGAATATTGGTCTATAGTATGTTTTCCTTGTCATGTCTATGAGGACCAGGCTAATTCTGTTGTCCTTATAAAATGAGTTGGAAAAATAATCCTTTCTCTTCAACATTTTGGAAGAGTTTTTTCTATTCTTTCAACAACAATCAACATAAAGGACTTACGTGACCAAATGTGTGTGAGTTTTCCCCACACACCAAGTAAGCAATCAATTTGCAGCAGACACCAGCTGGGTGTCCTCCAGTTCAGCTCTGACGCTATCTACCTGGACTGACTGGCTTCAAGTTCGGGTTCCCATGACCCCCTCTTTGGATTTGGTTAATTTGCTAGAGCATCTCAGAACTCAGAGAAACACCTTTACTGATCTATTATAAAGGATACAAATTTAGAGATACACAGGGCAAGGCATGTGGGAAGGGGTGTGTGCGCCACCCTCCAGGAACCTCTGCACGTTCAGCATCCCAAAGCTCTGCAAACCTTGTCCTCTTGGCCCTTTTAGGGAGACTTCACTGGACAGGCATGACTGACAACCATGTAGAAATGTGACTGCACAACAAGGGTGTGAGCTATACTAATACGCTGAGTGGGGGGACCCAGCAAGGCCTGTCTGTTGAGGTTCTTGGCCTCTCTGTGCAGCTTCCTTCCTCCAGCATGTGGGACAGGATCCCCGATCAAACAAGGCAAGTCAGAAGTTCTTTATGGCCAGCTAGACGACAGAAAAGCAGGGGAAGGTGTCTGCCCTGTGGAGAACAAGGCGCAGGTGAAAGGGGGACAGAGACCGCAATTCTGTTTTCTGAGGCCTAAAGTGCCCCAGCGTTATAACAAGGGCTATGGAAGTGATAAGCCAGGAACTGTGGATGAAACCCTGTATGTGTATCATATCACAGGTTTGTATTAAATGCATACTTGGTATTCTATCTTTCTTAAATGTATAGAATTCATATTTAAGCCATCTGGGCCTGTTGTTTTTGTGGTAAGGTTGACCACAATTTCAATTTCTTTGATACATGGCTATTCAAGTTATCCATTTCCTGAATGAGCTTTGGCAGTTTGTGTCTTCTCCGTTTTATTTATCAAATTTATTGGTATAAAGTTGTTCATAATATTGCCTTATTATGCACGTATTATCTGTAGACAATATGGTGATATCACCTCTCATCTCTGGTATCAGGAAATTTTGTTTCTTTTATCCTGATCTGACTAGAGGTGTATTAATTTTATTAATCTTCTGAAAGAACCAGCCTTTGGTTTCACTGATTTTCTCAATTCTTTTTCTGTTTATTTCAGGAGTCAACAAACTTTTTCTGTATCTTAAGACTTTGTAGGCAACGTAATCTGGTGTAGCTGCTCGGGACTGCTGCAGTAGCACACAAGCAGGCGTGGACGTATGTAAATGAGTGTGGCCACGCCAGACTGTACAGAAACAGGCGTAACCTGCAGCGTGTCACTGCTGGGCTCCTGTTCCTTGGTTTCTTCTGATTGTCATTATTTCCTTCTTGTAATACTTTGGGTTTAATTCGTTCTTTCTTGTCTAGGTATTTAAGGTAGAAGCTGAGTTCACTGATTTAAGACCTTTTTTCTATTCTAATACAGGTGTTTGATGCTATGAATTTTCCCTAAGTAATGCTAACACAAACTATATTGAGACTTGATATTTTAATAACTGGCAGAACTAGTCCCCATGCATCATCCTTCCTTTTTCAGAGTTTTTCTGATTGTTTTATTTGCTTATTTAGTTGTACATGTAAACTTTAGAACTATCTTGTCCAATTCTGAGGTAAAGGATTGATTGGGGCAGTGAACACCTATTTGTAATTTTATTGGGACTAGTTACCTTTATCAGTAAACTTAGAAGAACTGGTCAACTTTTATGTTGCCAAGTCTTCTTATCTAAGAGTTGATCTTTCTATCTAGTCTTTTGTGTCCTTCTATAGTTCTGTCAAGTTTTTTTCCTACAGGTGGGGAGGGGTGAGCCAGCTTCAGGATGGTGGCTGCCTCCAGGAAGAGGGAGGAGTTTGAGAGCAACCAAACCGGCTCCTCACCTCTGTCCAGAATGTTGTGGTAGGTTTAATACATCTGATTGACGGCCACATGTTTCTTATGAAACTATTTTTCTATACATTTGAAATATTTTATAGTTTAAAAAATTAAAAACAGGCCAGACACAGTGGTTCATGCCTATAATCCTAGCACCCTGAGAGGCCAAGACAGGAGGATCACTTGAGGCCAGGAATTTGAGACTAGCCTGGGAAACATCAAAAAACTGTGTCTCTACCAAAAAAATAGAAAAATTAGCCAGGTGTGTTGGCTCAAGCCTGTAGTCCCAGCTACTTGGGAGGGTGAGGCAGGAGGATCACTGGAGCCCAGGAGTTTGAGGTTGCAATGAGCTATAGTGATGCCACTGCGCTCTAGCCTGGGCACCAGAGTGAGACCCTGTCTCAAATAAAAAGTAACATAAAATAAAATAAAAACATCAATTTTAATAGAAAAAATTTATTGCAAATACAGTGACTCTTTTCATATTACAGTAGTACATTCTGATAAACCAAATGGCTATAATTTATGTATATTTCAGGTATAAAACTATATTTTTTTTTTTTTTTTTACATATAGTACAATTTCCAGTGTGATGACATTTCAATGAGAAAAAGATTGCATTCACAATAAACACCATCATCCCTGAGTCCACAGAAGATAAGCCCTGCCCAGACATCCCCCCTGGGGGAGCAGTCCCTGAAGAAGGGCTTCCCCTCCTTCATCTCCGGTTTGACAGTTCACAGTGAGTAAGGCCCTTCCAGAACGTGTGTACAGACCTACCGTCGAGAGTTCTAATGATGTAAGCCCTGAACACAGAATGGCAAAACTGTACAGAGCCCGATTTTGCATTTTTAGCTGCTCTTTGCTGAGAGAACCCATAATCTGTCTCACCAGTGAGTAGAAAAATTGAGAATTTTCCAACGGGAAATTTTTCAGGACTGCCAATAAAAATGTAGTCTTTTGCAACATGTATATTTCCCCAGCATCTGGCACATAGTAGCTATTCATTAAATGTTCGTGGGGTGAACAAAGAATCACAATCCCCACGTGGCCAAGGGTGCTCCTAGGAAAGCAGGCTGTCTCTACACAGACATGGCTGCAGGAGCAATCTTACTGATGAGTTTGTTGAGAGCTTGGACTTTTTCTTCCAAGATGCGGCTTTTTTTCTCAGCACCTCGTTGCTTCTCTTCAGTGACCTGAAGCGCCTTCACCAGGTGAGCATTTTCCACGTAGAGCTCCTTGAGCAACAGGTTGGACTTTGTGTTCTTTTCAAACTGGAGAGGGGAGGAAGCCACACTTCACTGTGAATGTGGTACAAAAACGCTGCAGACCAACCTGCCCTTATCCACATTAGGTCAAACAATCGTTTTGGATTCTTACAGATCTGACACAAATACTGTCATAAAATGACAAATTTATGTTATCCTGGCATGAGGGATGAAATTGAGAATTTGCTGAACTATGGTAGAGAAAATTCAAGGCAGTTTTGTGCCATGAAATGAAGACTTAAGACCAAAATCAAGTCCTCAAAAGGCCCTGTTATTCAGTGCAATGTAAGTAACGGAATCGTCAAGAGTATGGAAAGTGTCTGGTTCCTCTCAGTGTGCTCTGCTGACCATGATGTCACCCAGGACATACTGTATCCACCCTCGCAGCTGGGGACGCGAGCCAGTCGCCATGCACACAACAGCCCGGCCACACAGGCTTCAGCAGTGGGAACGTGAGGCCACTGCGGTCACCAGCCCTTGCCTTAGGGCCCCACACTGGGCTTCGTAGGTCCATGCCGCATTCACTCACTTGCCAAGTAGCTACCGAGCACCCCCACGTGCGCCCCCTGCCCTGGCAACAGCCCTGCTCTCACAGCATGCAGACTTAAATAGTAAGAGGTAGATGAAAAACACGTACAAGGGTGCTAAGAAAACCCAGCAGGGGATAGAGCTGGGGGGGGTGCCCATTTTGACCTGGTGAGCAGAGAGAGCCACTGTGAGGACATCTGAACAGAGATGTGAATTAAGAAAGGGAGTAAGCCACAAGGCTGTCAGGGCGTGAACATTGCCGGCGGAGAGAAGAGCAAGCGCAAAGGCCCTGTGGCTGGTACATGCTCAGGGTAACTGAGCAGCTGCCAGGACGCCACTGTGGCTGGAAACCATGGCTGAGGGGGAGGCAGAAAGAGGAGTCAGGGCTTTGAGGCAGGGGGCCAAGGGGAGATCCGACAGAACTTCAGAGGACATTGTAAAAACCCTGCCACCTACTGAGGGACGTGAGAACACGGAGTGTTTCTGGGCAGAGGAGGGACAGGACCTCAGTCACATTTTAAAAGGATCACTATTGCCCCTGTGCTGAGACTAGATTAAAGGAGGAAACAAGGAAGCCAGGTAGCATCCAGACAGGGTGGTGAGAAGTGGCTGGGTTTGTCCACTTTGAAGGTGGGACCATGGATTAGATATAGATATGGGGTGGGGGGTAGTCGGCCCTGACCCCAAGGTTTTGGACCTGAGCCAACGGCCAGGAGAACAGGAGGGCTAGCAGGTGAGGCCGTACAGACAGCCCTTTGAAGGGTACTTCTGTGCAGAGAACAGAGAGCTGCTAAAGCCAGGAGGGGCTGTGGGGGGGTGTGCAGGGGGCAGGAGGTAGTTAATGCGGAGCGGGCACTGCAGGTTTTCTTTGGGCGCTTCTGGTTTTCCAGCGAAACCAGCAGCAAATTCACAGCAAGAAGAGTTCAGAGGAGCTGGCGGGTCACAGGGGGGAGGCAGGGGAAGGGCCCCTGCAGAGGCTGCAGGACAGGCCTGAGCCCCATGCCCAGGGCAGGCATGCAGGAGCCACAGGATTTAACCAGAATGGAGGTGCTGCCAGGCGAGAGGGACAAACAGGATGTGTGCCCAGGAGTGACTGTGAGGGTGGGTCATCAGAGTCCCCGACAGCTGGGACAGCAAGAGGGCTGTGGAGGGGGCTGGGCAGGAGGGGCACACCTCTCCTTCCACAAACGTCTCTCCTGTTCGGGCCCAGCTCCGGGTCCCTCAGATAAATCAAACCATGCTGGGTTACTGTGGGATAAAACCATTGCCCCAGATTTCACATTTCTCTTAATTCCGTCTAGCACTGAATGTCTTCTGGAGCCGCTGGTGTGTGGCCAGGCCTCTTCTGTGTGCCGTCCTCACCCCCAACCTGGCTCCTGCCGGCCTGTGCCCCTGCCTCTACTACTGACACTGCCCCATGCTGTCCCCGCTCCGGGTGCTCCGCATCAGTTCTTACCCATTTAGGCCATAAGCTTTTACAGATCAGAGCAGCTACAGCTACCTTTTTTTTTTTTTTTTTGCTCCTAGTAGCAACCCCAATTTTTTTCTTCACCAGTGTGATTTTTTTTTTTAAATGTAGATCATATCATGCTCTTACTTAAAATCTTCCAATGGCTTCTAACTGCACTTAAGTAAAAACCCAAACCCCTGACCTTGGCCTACAGGACATGACGATGGGCCCTGCCTGCCCGTACCCTATCAATTCACACCAGCCACAGTCACCTCCTTAATGGCATCTGAGGACTCTGGCCTGCGCTATCGCTGTGCCTGGAATGTGGCTTCTCCTCCTCAGGTTCCCCCGCACACCTGGAGGTGTGTGCATTCCCCACCCCAGTGAGCCTTCCAAAATGACACTTGGCCTCTGCTGGGGACACAGCTAGACCTTCCCATGCTAGTCATCCAAAGTCTGCCCCATGCCAGCTCTTCGCAGTGGTCTCGACCACCCCTGCAATGCCCTCCCCTTCCATTCTCCCTTGTTCAGAGTTTATCACGATCTGCTCATCTCAGGGTCTACCTGGAGCGAGGCCTCACCACACGGCAGGTGCTCGGGGACATCTGCTGAATGACTAACAAGCAAATGAATGAATGAATGCCCTTTCTGAAACTATGTGAACACCCCTCAAAATAGACCTTAAACCATTCCCAAAGGAAAATACATGCAAAGCACAACTACAATGGAGGATACGTACTTGGAAAAATCAGTCTTCTATTGGTTACTTTTAAGTGTTCATCTTCTGAAATATATTTGCACATTCTCAAATGAAGTTTAGACAGAGCCCCAGGTTCAGTGGTTGCAAATGAACATGGGTTCCCTGGAGTTCTGTGACAAGACAGCCTCCCCCTGCACCAGCAACTGCCCACCCGAACAGGCAAATGCTCAGAGAGAGGCTGCCGACACGGACGTCACGGCCGCCCGCCGCTCACCTGTCCCTTCAGCTCCTCCGCCTTCTCTTGGAGGAGCATCTCCATGTGCTTCAGCATCATCTCCGCCTCGCCCACCCGCTCCTCTGTGGCTTTCAGCTGTTTTTCATGTTCTTCCTGCCACAAAAGAAGGTAACAGACAGTATTTTACATTTTAAAAAGAATCCTCTCAAGTCTTATTTACTGTAACATGGAAATGAGCTAAAATGTACACATCTGAATGTGACCGTAGGTAACCTTTCATCTGTACAAAGCAATAGTTAAAAACGGCCGGCACAGGTCATGACGCTATCGCTTCTCTTTGTTCAGGGAGAATCAGCCGACTGATGTGTCCTCAAAGAACAAGTCCTAGGATTTTAATCATAAATGACCACAAAAGGACTTTCTCTAGATGTGTTACTGTGTATTTCTAGAGGAATTCTGATTGAGTTTCTTTGTTTTGTCAATAATGTATCATTGCTTAACTTTAGCTTAACAGTTTTGCATAATGTAAGGGTATCCTTCGTTAGGATTTATGCTTTGCAAACATCAAATTGTACCCACCTTTCAAGCCATGCTCCAATTCCTTCCACGAAGGCATCCCCTGCCCCTGGCTCCTAATCTCCCCTACAGTCTGTCCCCCATGAACTATGAACTATGTAGAGAATTTCAGGAGTGAGCTGTTTTCTCAGCCTTTTGAATTAAACACTCACGCAGGATACACACGTGCCAGGGACCATTCAGGCAGCACTCTGCATCTCCAGATGCCGTCACAGCCGCAGCACATTGCCCGGCTCCACAAGTCTGTGCCACTACCCTCTTCTCCCTCCCTCCGTTCCTTCCTGTCCTTAACTGTGCCCAGTACTCACCTGCGTCAGGGCCTCTGCACCGCTGCTCCTGCAGACTGCCCAGGTCGCCGGGCGGCCTGCTCCCTCTCCTCCTCCAAGCTCAAGGGCCGCCCGGTGAGGCGTTCTCTGCTCACCTGTTTAAACTGCATGGCCTCCCTGTCCACAGCACTGTTCACCACGACTCCCGTTTTATTTTCCGTTTCTTTGTCTCCCCAATACCACTAGAATGTAAGCTCCACGACGGCTCAGGTTTTTGCCCTGTGTGTTCATTTCTCTGATACCTACATCAGTGTGCACCCAATAAATAACCCACTGCAGGAGAGGCTGCTTGTGAGCCATACGTATGTGCCTGTGGGTAGATTTTTTTCAGTCTGCATAATGGTTTCAGAATCCTTTAAAAGTAGATGGATCATTTGAAAATTGGGAGCACTCACATAAAAATCCAGTTTCTGGCTTTTCTTTGAAATCAGCATTGGCATCCTCTGGCCTGAGCTCCCACAGTGCCACGCAGGCAGGGGCTGGGAGCAGCCGCCCCTGGGACAGGGCATGTGGTCTCACAGCTCCTGGCAACTTCCTTACCATCACCACCTTTAAAGGCTATAAGCAGCTTGAGTGTATGGCCCCTAATGTCTAGCCGTGTGGTCTCAGAGCAGCCAACAGACACACAGGCCTAGCGGCTGACCTGGGCAGCCCTGAAGACAGACGTGTCTGGAAGGACCTGCAGCCCCAGGCTAGAGGGACTTTCAGGGTCACCTGGCTCCCCACCACCCTCCCTCTCCCTGATCCAACCTCGACACCTGTTGGAGTTCCTTATTGTCACAGTGAGGATCGGGACCCTGTAGCTTCCACATGACTAGACCTCAAGTAGCTGGAGGTGGCTTCTGGGCTGCCCTCCCCACGGCCTTGGGCTTCACACTCAGGCAGCTTTTGGTTGAGGACCAGGGATCCAATCTTGCCCTCCCCTCACACCCCAGCCGGCCCCCACTCACCTGCTGTGTTCGCTGGAGGCTGAGCAGGTGCTGCAGCTTAGCCACATCGTCTCGAGGCACCAGCCGGCCCATCTGCTCCTGTAGCTGCTGGACCTCCTGAGAGTGCTGGGACTGGGCCAGCTTCAGCCTCAGCTGGGCTCCCTGCAACTACATGGGAGAAGCGACTACAGTTCTGGTGTGACTGCTGAGAGCCACGGGGCCACTGGCAGACACAGCAGCAAAGGTGCTGGTGTGTTATTCTCTGTGTTCAAGGACACCCACATCTGGAGGGGCAAAGCAGGCACGCTCCCTTCTGTGTGGTCCCTGAGAATGCAGCAACACCCAGAAATTCACAGAGTCCATTTATTTGGAATTCTGACAGCCAAACTCCCATTTAGCCAGAGCTTCTACACAATTAGAGTCAGGAAAACTTGTGTCCGTCACCCCACTGGATCCATGGGAGGATCAGGTTCTGCGGCATCCACCGTGACTTTTTGGCATCCTTTGCTAGAGCCTAACCTTTTTTGAGGCAGGGTCTGGCTCTGTTGGTGGGCTAGAGTGCAGTGGCATCATCATAGCTCACTGCTGAAGCCTCCAACTCCTGGGCTCCAGCGATCCTCCTGCCTCAACCTCCCAAGTAGCTGGGACTACAGGCATGAGACACCATGTCCAGCTAATTTTTAAATTTTTTGTAGAAACAGAGTCTCACTCTTGCTGAGGCTGGTCTCAAACCCCTGGGCTCAAGCAATCCTCAGGTGTGAGCCACCGTGCCTGGCCTAGAGCCTAGTTATTTCAAAACAATAACCCACGTAAGCCAGACATGGTAATTTTCGTTTAAGTGGAGAGTTTATACTGAGACACAGCTACAGCCCGGGGTCACAGATCCTAACTAAACACAGGGAATGTTGAAGGAAGTTGGGGTCAGGTGTGGAATTAACTGCAGTACCTGGTTCCCAACCCTATAGGATGACACAGAATCTGCTGAAGTTATGATTGGTTATTATTACTCAACTATGTATAACTTAGCTAACTCCTTTTATTAGCAACTGGAGGTCAGATGTAAACACGGTTTAAATCAATTTGACTCTGGAGGATTCATCTAGACTACACAGGATTTTCTTGGCACCCTAAAAGAAGTGGCCATGCCACCCCTTACCTGTGAGACCCCACAGACCGGAATGGGAGTCACGGCTCCACTGAGGGTCACATTTGAGGCAGGTGTGATGTGACCACATGGTCAAGAGAAAGGGAAAGCGCCAGCTACTGCCACCCAAGGAAAGCGCGAGTCACTGCAGCCTGTGAGGGCCGGGACATGACCCGCAGCCCCAGCCTCCGTCCAGCCTAGCTGCCCCTCTGCAGTCACTGTGTGGATGACTCAGGAGGCCGCACTATCACCACTGTCACTGTGAAGCTCACCTTTGTTTATGGTCGGGGTCGCTCCAGAGAGACACACCTGCACACTAGGTCTCCAGGCCCTGGAGGGCAGCTTATCATTTGAGACGGAAAGAGAGGGAAGAACCAGTTCTAAATTGCATGTCCCCCACACAGCCTCCCCCCGGTTTTCTCATTTCATAGAGTCATTCTGGCCTTCACCCCTCCCAGGTCTCAAGAGCACCTGGCCACCCAGAGAGACTGCTGCCCTCCACCCTGCCTGCTCTGATGCTCACTCTCTCTCTGACCGTGCCAGCGCCACGGCCTGAACCCCGCCGACGAAGGCCTCCATGGCGAGGCCAGGGTCTGGCCCCGAGTGGGGTCTCTCCTGTGGTGAGTGGTCCATAAACATCTGCTGAACAGAATGCCATCCCAGGCCTTTTCATTCCATTCCAGGTGGCTCAGCCTAATGTGGTGGGTAGGTGTCGTGGAATTCCCGGGTAAGGCCCTGAGAGACCCTGCAGCTTCCGCCTGCATCTCTTGTGGCCTCACTGCTGGGCTCCGAGCACCCCATGCTGCAGAGAGGCCACGTGGGGGCTCCTGTCCACTGGGCTCGGAGTCACCAGCCAGCACCACAGCCCAGTGAGACAGAGCTGCCTTGGACGTCAGCCCAGCCAAGCCTGCAGCTGCCCAAGGCAGGCCCCAGGTGGGAAGGGCCCGGCTGAGCCCAGCCAGCCCACAGATCCTGAAGGATGATGACAGAAGGGCCACTAGACTTAGGGGTGGCTTGTTATGTTGTCATACAGAACCAGGACGGGGGTCCCCACGGGCTGTGACGTGGCAGCACTGTGCTTGCTCCCTGGCTTGTCCCCTGCTCTGTTCTGCGGCCTCCCAGAGCCTTCCTCTTCTGAACCACCCAACAGCATGACAGTGACCACCTGGCTTCCTGCATCTGACCCACCCTCTCCTCGCCCCCGCAGGGAGCCCTGTCTGCCTTTTCTACACTATCCTGTGTCCCCCGCTTCCCTTATGCTGACTTGCAGCCACGTGCTTTAGGCGGGGGGGGGTCTTCCTCTAAATCATGAGGAAGAAGGGGACACCAGCTTACATGGCTGCAGGTCAGACTTACGCAAGGGACCTTCCGGACCCCAGCGGGCGTGGAGCCCGCTCTGGCGGCCTTGGCATTGCCCCCCACCAGCAGGTGCCGAGTAAGCGCTGGCTTTCTCAGCGGGCTCTTACTCCTGAGCCTTGAAGGACTCAGACTGGCCCAGGAAGCTTTCAAGGTTCCTTTTAAACTTAAGAGGAAGAGCACCCCAAACATGCAGAGGCACCTCTGGGAAACTGCTGCAGCGGCAGGGCTAAGAGTCCACAAGAACCCCAAGAGCACATCAGAAGGCCCCTCTTTCCTCCTGCAGCCCTGGGACTCCCAGGTATACCCCATACCCATGTCTACACTGGGCCCTCAGCCCTCAGGGCACCTCTGGCTGTCACACACCTGTTCCTCTCTTCCCCCTTGAGCCCCTCCCTCCTATGAACATCCCCTGGGAAGAACTGTCCCTCCCGCCCCCCAGGTCCCTGTGGGGCTCGCCCTGCACACGTCTGTCTGTCCCAGACTGCAAGCTCCCTGCCACAGCCTCCCTGTGTTTGCACCTCCCGAGGCTTTTCACCCTCGGAGCCAACAGATTCCATGGTGTCACAGCATGCATGTGAGTATGTGCGCGTGGGAGGTGGGGCACAAAGCTTGTGAGCCAGACACCACCAACCCTCAGATGCCACCGCGACATATTCCTTTAGCCCCTCCATCTGTAGAGAGCTCACCCCAAGGCATGGTTACTGCCCCCTTTCCTTCGTGAGTAAAGTGAGCCACAACTCTTTACATGACTTGCTCAAGACCAAACCAACCACGGGCTAGGGCAACTTTGGTCCTGGGCCTGGTAAGTGCCTGACTAGCTGTGTAACCTCAGGCTGCATCAACAACCTCTCTGTGCTGCACTAGGCCTGGCAGTGCTCTGTTGGCATCACAGTGACACTGCTCCCAGGCTGGGACTGGAACCAGCACCTCCAGCCACCACTCGCACCCACCTGGTCTTGACTTTCTTCAAGGGTCTTTGTCAGCTCTGACTGGGACAGTCTCAGGCTCTGACATTCTTGATTCAAGCGTTCGAGTTCAACTTCAAGTTTTTGGATTTGGTCACTCTGTTTTTAAAAAATCAAGTTCACAAGTACAAGAAATATCTTAGCAGTCTGATTTGTGATTGATGCAGAAACTTCAGAAAATTACAGAAAAGAAAAAATTACAAAATTTAAATCCCTAGGACCCCGCCAGCCAAGACCCACCCCGACATTCTGCTGTAATTCTTTCACCCATCTTCTACACGTACGCACTTCTATCGAGACGATACGCTTTCTTCCTTATTATAGCTTGAGCAGTTCCCATGACATTAAATACGATTTGAAAACAGGTTTCAGTGGCTGCACCATGATTTACTAACTCATTCGCCTACTGTTGATGACTTGAGCTGATTCCAATTCTGTTTTGCTATTATAAATAGCACGGCAACAAAAATACTCCAGCTAAATCTTTCCTCAATGCTCTTGAGATACAACTTCCATAAGCAGAATTAAGAAGTCAACACATAGGGACATTCTTACAGTTCTCGCCCTCCAGGAAGGCTGTACCAATTTACTCTTCTGTCACCAGCATTTGAAGCCGTTCTGCTCCTTTTTCTGGATACTGTGGATTTGCAGATGCCACTCAGTCCACTTATTTCTCCAGGGCTTGCTTGGGAAGTCCCTCACCCTACTGCTGGGTGACGCCTCCCTCTAGGCTCCTAGGGCTTGTCCTAACCTGTCTGCAGCTGCCTCCCCAGCCCGGCCCCCTCACTCGCCTGCTGCTCTCCCCGGCGCCCTGCCTCCTCCAGGCTCTGTGTTAACAGCTGGATGGTGATGCGATTCTCCTCATTTTGGGCCTGGTGGGTGGAAGCCTCCTCTCCCAGCTGAAGGACACTGTGGTTGAGCTGGGACAACTGATCCCTGTATTTCTGACTCTAGAGCAAAAAAAGGTTAAAACACAGATTTAAAAAAAAAAAATCTTTTTAACCCAGCAGCTCAATTTGGATCATTCTGATGGCTCTCAACCAGGGATGGCATGCTCCCCAGGGGACATCTGGTAATGTCTCCACACATTTCTGACTGTCACAACTGGGGGAGGGGAAGCGACTGGCATCTTACAACACAGAGGATGATCTGGCCCCAAATGCAAGGCATGTTGAGGACAGAATCTCTGCTCTGTTCCCTACGAGAAAAAGACACAGCGAGGCCGCCAGACGTGGTCATGTGCTGTGACCATCTGAACCACTGTTCTGAAGACCTTTCACATTTTTCTCATTTCCCTCATGGTTATTTCTAATATATTTTAAGCAATTTTGAGGAAATAAACAACCTAATTAAACTTGACATATATAAATCTCTTCAAAATCTCCTCTGATCTTTGTCATTGAACATACGAATGTAGCTCTCCGCAGGGTGTGTGTGTTCATTGAATTGTGTATTTTGCTTCTTCTCCACAGCCACTGCCCAGCTGTGACTCCCAGCAAGCACTGGCCGCATGAACCAGCGAAGGCCCTAAGCAGGGAAGCAGCAGCGGGAGAGCTGGGCCTACGCTCTCTCACCATGGAAATTCTAGCTGTTTTCTATTATTCATCATGAGTATTCTCACACAAACCACATTTTTGCCTATTTGCTTCTTCCCACAGCAGTTTTCGGGGCAGAGGGTTCCAGCAGCTCCTGGGGCTTTTCCGAGCAACGTCCGCAGAGCCACTCAGCACTGTTGGCAATGCACACGCAGCGCCTGCCCTCAGGATGAGGCTACCAACGTTTGACTTCTGCAGGTTTACTAAGCACATAACGGAACCCTGAAGTGGTTTCAATCTGGGTTCACGTGAGGTTAGCAAGTGTACACGTTCTTCTCAGGATGCTTTCTCGTAGTCCTCTCTGTAAGTTAACCATCGCCTCATCCTTCCCTAGAACTGCAGGAACGAGGGTAAGAGAAGCTTCCACATGCCATAAGCTCATGGCAGTCACACCTGGCATAGAGCTTGTTTATTACACTTGTTTATTTACATGTGTTTATTACACTTTATTGTGAAAATTAAAATTTTTTTTTTATTTTTGCATATTATGGGGCTACAAATGTTTAGGTTATGTTGCCCTTGCCCCACCCCCAGTTAGAGCTTCAAGCGTGTGCATCCCCCAGACGGTGCGCATCGCACTCTTTGTGTATGCGTATACCCGTCCCCTCCTCCCCTCTCCCCACTCCCCCCTGCCCAACATCCAATAAATGTTATTCTTATATGTGCCCTTAAGTGTTGATCAGTGAAACCAATGTGATGGTGAGTACACGTGGTGCTTGTTTTTCCATTCTTGGGATACCCCATTTAGTAGAATGTGCTCCAGCTCTATCCAGGAGAATACAAGAGGTGCTACATCACCATTGTTTCTTACAGCTGAATAGTACTCCATGGTATATATATACACATTTTAAAATTGTTTTTCAATATCAATACATATTCATCTTGTCCTCTGAGGACAACTTTGATTTCATTAATAGAATGGAATCTACCTCAACTCCTGAGATAAGCACACTAGTTGATTTTCTTCTATGCACCTTTAAAATTTAAACTATTAGTTTGGAAAAAATTTCAAGCTTACAGACAGTTGCAGGAAGAGAACATTGCAAGGGAAGCCCACACATCCTCCAGCCAGACTCATAGCAACAGCACCCTCCAGCTTTGCCGTCTGTACTCTGTGTACACACGCACGTGCACACACAGAATGCCTTCTCGCCAGCACAGCCCTGCCACGGGCCTCCTGTGGACAGGAGTGCTCGCCCCACGGCTGCTGTGCAGCTACTCTGCAGGATGGTGGTCCTGACGTCCCCATGTTCCAGCTTTGTCAACTTGCCCGACAATGTCCTTTAGAGCCCCCTCCCCAGCAGAGGATCAGGTGGTGTCTTTGTCATGTTGGTTTAGCCTACTACAATTTGGAATGTTTCCACAGCCTTTTGCCTTTTATGACTTTGACATTATTTATCTTTTAAGAGACAGGGTCTCGTTCTGTTGCCCGGACTGGAGTGCAATGATGCGATCACAGCTCACTGCAACGTGCGACTTCTGGGCTCCAGCAATCCCCCCGCTCAGCCTCCCAAATAGCTGGGACTACCAGTGTGAGTCGCCATGCCCAGCCAACTGTGATATTTCTAACAATTACAGTTCCCCTCTCCCCTATTTTAATAGATCACGGTGGACTTGTCTGTTGCTTCCTTACAAGCCAGGTGACGTGTTCCTGGCCAGACACTGCATAGACGATGCTGTGACTCCTCAGGGCCTTGCATCAGGAGGCACTCATGCCACCTGCCTCTGGTGGTGTCATGTTGATCACCTCTTTGATTTCTAACTTTCATTCATCTGGCTTTTGTCACAGAAGCCAATATAAGATGTTAGCAGCCATCTTCTGGGTATGTGTTAAAACAAATGGATATTTGTCTCAAATGTTTTTCCTAAATCTAACCAAACCTTTAGGCATGATGGTTTATAAGACAAACAAGTGACACAGGACCAGACTGATCCCCACTCTAGGAAACAGCTGGACAAATCCAGAATGTCCACTGGCCCATGAGACAACTGTCTGGTCTTGTCTGAAAGGCAGCATTATCGGGGCAGAAACAGCAGTTCCAGATGGAAAGACTAAAGGACACTGCAGCAGACTGTAGTGTCCAAAGACACCCCCGACAGCATCTTCCAGCCCACAGCCTCTTCCGCACCGTGACCTGGACACTTGCCCATCAAAGGAGCCTCCCTGGGGCGCCAGGGACTCAGTGCCACACGGAGCAACTTCCAAGGAGGGGTCAGAGCCCTTTCACTTGGCCCTCCGGAATACTCACTCCCCAATGCCCCCCTCATGACACACCCCCCAGTAGCCCAGCCCACAGGGGAGAGGCCCACAGACACGTGGAACAACAGTCGTGTGTGGAAGGAGCTCCCCAGATGATTCCAGCCCTGGCCACTCAGGTCACCCCAGCTGCACGGTGTTCCCCAGGCCGTCTAAGCTGTGCCCCTGTGAAGCGCAAACCATAGCCTCCCCAAGCGCAATCAAGTGGTAGGTTTATGCTAATTTTTTCTATTTTTGGTAGAGACGGAGTCTTGCTCTTGCTCAGGCTGGTCGTAAACTCCTGACCTAAAGGAATTCTCCTGCCTCAGCCTCCCAGAGTGCTAGGATTACAGGCGTGAGCCACCACGCCCGGCCCATGGCACATCCTCCTAATGGAAGAGGCCCAAGTACAGCTCCCACACACTCACCACGGAAACGAACAACAATGCTAGAGCCAGACAAGCCACCCGCGTGCTGGTGTCTGCTGCAGTTTCCGCAGCAAAAACCACCTTCCTCAGCCACATGGGAAGAGGAGGTGCCAGGGGAGGAGACTCGTAGGGACTTATCTCAAGGGTGGAACAGAGGTTTGAGACACACAAGTGATAAAAAAGCTGCTAGAACTAATGACTGAGTTGAGCAACATCGCAGGATGCAAGATCAACATACAAAAATCAATTGTATTTCTATATGCTAACAATGTACAGAAACTCAAAAACAAATTTCTACTTCCGGTTTCGGGTGTGACATATAAAGAGCATGGAATTCATCACTCCCATCTTCCTAAAAGAAAGAAGCTGAACAAAATGAGTATGAACAACTCTTAGGTTCATCAGAGAATTTTCGGAGAGAATTAGGGTTAAATGAGGTCACAAAGGTGGGGTCCTAATGCAACAGGACTGCTGCCCTCATAAGAGGGAGAGAGCGCTCCCTGCCATGTGAGGACACAGTGAGGAGGCGGCAGGCCAGGAACCAAACCAGCCTCCAGAACTGTGAGAAATAAATTGCTGCTGCTTACGCCACCCAGTCTGTGGTGTTTTGTATGGCAGCCCAAGCAGACTAAGATACTAACCATTCTGAAGTAAACCCAGAGCATTCTGTCCTCCTGCCCTCAAGAAAAATGACTTCCCCAGGGTGTAACCAACATGGCAGAAGGGAAAGACCCAACTGCTGCCCCCTCTAGCCTGCCTGTCTCCGCGCACACCTGTGGGAACACCTACAGTGGAAAAGAGCGCAAACGCCAAACGCTGGCAAGGACCAGAGAAACTGGATGACGCATATGCTGCTGGGGGGAACATAAAACGTCACAGCCACTCTGCTAAAACAAACTGTGCTATGTCCGTACTGTGGAGCACTCAGCAATAAAAAGGAACTATCGATACACCGGACATTTGGATGACATTCTAGGGAATTATGATGTGTGAAAAAAGTCAATCCTAAAGGTCACATTCTGTACCACTCCAGTTATCTAATATTTTGAAATGACAAAATTTTAGAAATGGAGGACAGATCAGTGGTTGTCAGGGGTTAATGGCTGGGTTTGGGTGGGCAGAAGAAGGTTGGTGTGGTTACAAAAGAGCAGCACGAGGGAGCCTTGCAATGTTGGAAGTAGTATCTCCACTGCGTGGATACGTGAACTTACACAGATGATAAAACTGTATAGAATCCAACTCACACACTCACACCCTGTATACACACACCACACACATCCCCCCTACACACCACCCATACATACACACACACCACTTGTACTTACACACACCACACACACACCCCACCATACACACACCACACCCCCCCACACACACACCACCCATACATACACACATACCACCTGTACTTACACACACCACACACACAACACACACACCCCACCCATATATACATATACACACATACACACATACACACAAATGAATATACAAGTAAAACTGGGGAAATCTAAGAATAATCCACAGGTTGTATCAATGTTAATATATTGGTTGTGATACTTGTTATGGGTTGAATTGTGTCCCCCGCAAAATTCATATGTTCAAGTCCTAAACGCCAGTATCTCAGGATGTGAGTGTGTTTGGAGGGAGGGCCTTTAAAATGGTAATTAAGGTAAAATGAGGCCGCATCAGTGGGCCCTGGTCCAATCTGACTAGTGTCCTAATAAGAAGAGATTAGGACAACAGACATGCACACCAGGTGACCATGCGAATACACATGGAGAAGTGGTCACTTACAAGTCAAAAGGGAGGCCCCAGAAGAAACCAACCCTGCTGGCACCTCATTCTTGGACTTCATCTCCAGAACTGTGAGAAGACAGATTTCTGTTGTTTAAGCTCCCCCGTCTTTGGTACCTTGTTATGGCAATCCGAGAAGACTAATATAGATACGATACTATAGTTTGGAGAATGTCACCAATATGGGAAACTGAGCAAAGTCTTACAATTAGATATGAGTCTATAATTATCGATAAAAATTTCAATTAAAAAATAATAAACATAGGCCAGGCGTGGTGGCTCACGCCTGTAATCCTAGCACTCTGGGAGGCCGACGCGGGTGGATCGCTCAAGGTCAGGAGTTTGAGATCAGCCTGAGCAAGAGTGAGACCCCGTCTCTACTAAAAAATAGAAAGAAATGATCTGGACAACTAAAAATATATATATATAAATTAGCCGGGCATGGTGGCGCATGCCTGTAGTCCCAGCTACTCGGGAGGCTGAGGCAGGAGGATTGCTTGAGCCCAGGAGTTTGAGGTTGCTGTGAGCTAGGCTGACGCCACAGCACTCTAGCCCAGGCAACAGAGCAAGACTCTGTCTCAAAAAATATAAATAAATAAATAAATAAGGATGACAAATGCCAGCTTGCATGCCTCTTTTTTAAAAATCCAGTCCAAAAGGCAATAAGTGGGACCAAGCACAGAAGGCCTTTGTGTATAGGGCAAAAGGAGAACCAGTGTCGGGCAGTCAGCACCCAATCAGGGTAAGAAGGGCATTTACACAAGGGGCAAAGGAACGCTGATCAAATAAAAAGTAAATATGCTGAAGAAAATGGAAACCAGGCCTCTCACTGTTGGAAAAATAAGTTATAAATAAGGAAATAGAGAAAACTAGAATTATCCCTGTGATGTTGGGTGGGAAATGCAGATATGGGTTTGAATTTGTGGTTTACAATATAGAGAGATGTATAAATGAATATACTTGAGACTACATGCATATTGTACATGTACATACATAAACACACACACACACACACACACACACACACACATTCCCTCGCTGAATCCACTAAGAGCACCTGAAAGCAGCAGAAGCAATGGGCACATCTAGTGCCCAGATCTTGGTCTCTAAATATTACCCTTCTATACTGAAAGTAACCAAAAGCTCCTTGGAGAAGTGGCTGCTTCCAGGGCTGGGGCAGGGAAAGTATCAGATGAACCTGGAACATCTTGGGGTAGCAGAAAAGAAGTGCTCAAAGAATGATCAGGACCTGTCCAAAGGACACAGAAGCCACCCTGAAGGGGCTCCCCTTGGCTAAATCTGGGACAATGTGAGCATCAAAATAAATATGATAGCAATATATCACACCCCATTGTATAAAAGAGGAATCTATGATATAATATAATGATACAATAAACAAATGGGGACAAAAAGCTCTTCCTTGTAAACTGACAACTACTAAATGTAAAACAACAGTGGGATTAGTCACCAGTTGGTCACCATCATAGTAATAAATGACTCCACCAAGAAACGAAAAGCTGGTAAAACTCAGAGGTGAGAGTTTGATGACAAAAGGATATTTACAAATATCAAAGTCTCTCCCCCTAAAATACTCATTAATTACAAAGAGAAAAGTAACTTTACTGTGGAGAAGCCTGGCCAACACCATCTTCAACCAAGTGACCAAAGTTAACATGAGCAATGGGACAAATTATTGCGACCCTGGATGGGGTGAAATGAGAAGGACACAGTATCACTTATGAGTTATTCCTGCCAAAAACACATAACGTGACTCAAATTACCAGGAAACATCAGACAAACGGAAATGGAGGGACTTCCTACAAAATAACCAGCTGTGCTCTTGAAAATGTCAAGGTCCTAAAAACCAAGGACTGACTGAAGGGGACAAAATGCCACACATGACTCTAAACATTACTGGGACCACCGGCAAAGCTGACCGGGGTGGGGTCTTCACAGACATATTAGGTTCCTCATTTTGATGAGGGCTGGTCACCAACTCACTCTCAAATCTTTTAGGAAAAAGTTCTCTATTTCCTTTTTGTAAGTGTGAAATTATCTCAAAATAACACAAGAAAGCAGAAGGGCACTGATTCCATGCCAGGTATCAATACTTGACCTGTTTGCTGAGCTCTTCCACGTCAAAGCAGGCCTTTTCCTTGTCTCTCTTTAAAACTTCGATTTCCCTCCTGTTGAAGAAGCAAAATTAACAATGTCACTTCTGACCAACCGGGCTTTTGTTCCCTGGTCGCCACCCCGTGCACCATCCGCAGCCTGGGTCTGTCCCACATCATAGACGCTCACACCTGCTCCTGGCATTCCATGGCCACTCACTGTCCCTGCCGCTACATTATTGCTGTCGCTGCTAGTGACAACGATGACCCAACCCTGATCCCAAATCACAGAGAATCTAGGGATGTGAAATTGTTCGCATTTTCAGAGAGATCATACATTGCCAGTATTTTTTTTTTTTTTTAAAGAGACAGGGTCTGTCTCTGTCGCCCAGGTTGGAGAGCAGTGGTGCTATCATATAGCTCACTGCAACTTCAAACGCCTGGGCTCAAGTGATCCTCCCGCCTCAACTTCCCAAGTGGCTGGGACTACACGCACGTGCCACCATGCCCAGCTAATATTTCTATTTGTTTGTAGAGACAGTACTGGGATTATAGGCCTGAGCCCAGCACTGCGCCCAGCCCCGCTGTAAAAATAAACACCCTCTGTGACATTCCTCAATGACACATGTTAATATTTCTTTTGTAAAACATGTAACTATTCACACCCAGCAGCATAAATAAAGATGGAGACAGCCTTACACCCGCTGAGGTCTGTGGTCCCAGGGGCTCTGGTTTATAAACTCTGGAAAAAAAAATGATTGCTAAAGGAAAACAATTAAATGTCAAAACTAATAGTAATCACTTGTTACCTACTCTGGTTTCTATACTTTAATCATCACGGTGCTTTTATCATCTCAGAAAAACATACTCAGCATTTTAGAGCTAAGCTCACCTTGAAAGTCATAGGGGGTGGGGCGGGGAAGGCCAAAGAAACTGTCTTTGGATATGGCTACGGTAGTCACAGCAGAAATCCCCCTCCCCCAACACACACCCCAGCTCCTCTCCTGCCTCAGTGCTCAGGTCCCTGCCCCTCCCTCTGCCCATCTCCCTCCCCCAGCTCTGAACTTCAGAGAAAAGCAGAGCTGAAACTGTTATCAGGACACGACCAAACAGGTTCTACTTGCCAGGAGAGCACCTCTGACCCCTGCAAAAACAAGCACTGCCTTTTCCAGCCCCTAAGTGCCAGGTGGTGTATTTCAGTGCGGTGAGAAGTGCCTGTGTATCAATTCCCAAGGGAAGCAGCCTCTGTGGTGAGCCGTTCTGAGGCCAAGGAGCTTGGGAGTTAAGGTGCCGTGCACACATGGAAGCAGGCTGGAGCCCCCCATGCCTGTCAAGTCTGTTCACAAGTCTACAAGGCTCACCTACTTAGGGTTTTTTGGAACACGAGGCTGATCTGCAAATACTTCCCACTTTCTATACGGATTCCTTCTAAACTCTACAGAGAGCAAAATGTCCCACTGACTTGAAGGTCTGGATGGGAGCTGCCGAGATGCATCTTGTTTCCTCACCTCTGTGCATCATTGGTGCTTTCTGCAGCTTTGAGCTCTTGCTGAATGCTTCCCAGATCATTTTTCAACAAAGTGTTTTCTTCAGAAAGCCTATGAAATTCGATTCTGCATGAAAAATTGAGAAAAAACTGGTGACCACTTGAAGAGAGCTGGCTGCCACGTGCACAGGGTAAGCCTGGTTCCGCAACACTAGCCTGGCTCCGCAGCTGGGGTCCTGGAAATCGTGCCATCCCCATGTCCCCTTCCCTGAAGGAGGCACAGGGCACTCTTCCTTCCCCCTCTGCCTCTAACCAGTGTTAACAATCTGCATCTCCCAAGAGTCAAGCCACAGAAAACAAAGCTTTCTTAACTTCTAAACCGGTATACCATGGACAACTTACTAACACTCTCAGAACCTTGGTTTCATTGACTTTGTGTTTATAGCTGCCCTGTTCCTGCATCTTATGACCTCCAACCGAACACATGCATATACTGGGTACCAATGCCAAATGCTGGGCCTGAGTCCTTGGGTACTGCAAAGGGTATTCGTCCCCTGCCAGTGAACTCCAGCATGGAGCTAAGAGACACAAGGAATCAGAAGGCCAAAATACATGGTATACATTCTCCTCTTTAGTGAGAGTCCCACCCATCCTATACTCTGAGGTCAGCCCTAGAAGGAGAAACTTAGGGAAGTGCCCACATTGATTTATGGAGAGACACCTGATGCTAGGTGAATCCCCCAAGCGGGAAAAAGCAGGAATAAGCAGCCACTACATGGGCTACGTCTGCCTGGGGTCATCTTTGTTTTCTGACTACTCTAAGAGAGTCTCTGGTTAGGTTAATACCATCAATTATGACAGATGACGAATTTACCAATAAAAATCACTAATGAGGCCGCTTAAAACATACACTTGCTACCCATAAAATTTATTCTTAATACAGGTTGGTCTAGCTGACATTTATTCCCCCCAGTAGGTCTCTATATGGCATTAGCTTCTCATTTTTTTAAATCTAAAAACATTCAAAACCACACAATCTCATCATGTTCACTTTATGTATCAAGCTTATAATATTAAGTATACAGATGTATCTCCTTCATATGACTTCATTTTATCTCATGAGGAACTAAAGAGAAAAATAAAGAGATACAAAGCATTAGAATTTTAAAAGCAGCAAAGGGTTTCAAGCAGGGGAGTGAAACAAATGAGATCTGTGTTTTGAAACGATGTCTCTGGCTCTAGCATGGAAAAACGAATTGATGTAAGGCACGTGTGGGGAAGGAGAGGGAGAGATGGGGGATGGGGGGAGAGGGAGAGGGAGTGTAGGGCAGGGATTTCTACTTCCAGCTGCTTGGAGCCCAGATAAGCTGAAGGGTGCCCACTCTCATCCCCTACACAATCGCCAAACAACTAGATCCTGTGGGAAGCTGATTGTAGAGTGACTGTCCTCATAGAAAGCAATGGAAACCTCCAAGAGCCTCCAAACAGAACAAAAACCCGGAAGCTAAAACCAAAGCTGTGAGCATTATGCAACACAAAGCTGGAGTGACTCCGCGCGACCAACGCCTACATCAGCACCACTAGCAGCAGGGTGGAGAAGCTGCACTGCAGACACCTGCAAAAGCCAGGGCCCTGGAAGGAGGTTCAAGTGGTCCTAGATTAGCAGCCCCTCGCTTCTCTGCAAAAGCATCCCCTATAAGGCATCCAAGGTTCCCAGAGATTAACATCAAGCAAACGTGAGTTCATAAACAGAGATCGGCATAACATACATGGAAAAAAGCCACTCCTGAAGAGACAGCAGAAGCAAAAAAACAGGAATTAGATCCTCTAGGAACTTCAAGTATTGGAATTATCTGACACAAACTAAAAATAAATACTATGAAATATTTACATAAATAAAATATGGAAATAAAAAATGAATAAGAAACTATCAACAATGATCAGATAAGACTGAATAGAATTTTTAGAAATAAACAAAAGTCAATGTCAAAATAAAAGCTCAGCCTGGGTGCAGTGACTCACACCTGTAATACCAGGATTTTGGGGAGGCAGAGGATCACTTGAGGCCAGGGCAACATAGTGAGACCTCTTCTCTACAAAAAATAAAAAAAAATTAGACCTTTCAGTCTGAACAGACAAGGCTAAGAAAAAAAAATAAGCTGGGCTTGGGGGCACATGCCTGTAGTTCTAGCTACTTGGGAGGCTGAGGCAGGAGGATTGCTTAAGCCCAGGAGTTCCAGGCTGCAATGAGCTAAGATGGGTGCACCACACTCCACCCTGGATCAAGACTCCGTCTCTTAAAAAAAAAAAAAATTAAAAAAAATAAAAACTCACTGAATGGATTAAACAGCAAATTACACAGAGCTGAAGAAAGAAACAGTGACATGGAACACAGAGATATTAAAAAACGTTCCCCAAATATGACACAGAGAGAACAGAAAATGGAAAATATAAAACAGAAGGTGAGAGATGGAGGAAAACATGAAAAGAGCTAACATCATGCATCTAATTGGAAAGAACAGTGAGAAGAGCCAATATTTTAACAGCAATGGCTGAGAGGTTTTTATAAGTCACCAATCTATTCAACAGGGACAATGTTTTCTAAGTAGGACAAGCAAAAAGAAAACTACACCTATGCCCAACAATTCCCTTTCTAGGTCCACCCCAATATAATTGTTCCAAAAGGCATCTACAAGAACTTTCACTGCAATACTATTTGAGAGAGCCAAAACCTGGACACTACCAAATGCCCAACAGAAGAAATAGATAAATGATGATATATTCACACAAGAGAACACACACAGCAGTGGACATGAAGGATGACAGCACAAGCAATATGACGACTCTCACAAACAGGATGGACCAAGAAAGAAGTTTTGTGAATGTATAGTCACAAAAGAATATACGTTGTAAAACAGACAAAAAAGAATATGCACTGTATGGGCCCGGCGCAGTGGCTCATGCCTGTAATTCTAGCACTTTGGGAGGCCGAAGCAGGTGGATCCCTCAAGGTCAGGAGTTCGAGACCAGTCTGAGCAAGAGCAAGACCCCGTCTCTACTAAAAATAGAAAGAAATTATCTGGACAACTAAAAGTACATATATACAGAAAAAATTAGCCGGGCATCGTGGCGCATGCCTGTAGTCCCAGCTACTTGGGAGGCTGAGGCAGGAGGATCGCTTGAGCCCAGGAGTTTGAGGTTGCTGTGAGCTAGGCT